CACATGATGATCTCAATCATGCCATATTTGCCTCAGGTGTATATATATACTATGAATCACAGTATATACTATAGAAGGCCACACATTACCATTAATAAATAAGTAAAAATAAAAAAAATGTCAGAAGAGAATGGAAAGCAATTCATATAACACATGTCTTGGGAAACACTATGAGATTCCCCTCCACTGGATTTCCAGTCTAAACATTCTCATGTCAGTGGTTCATGTAACATTTAGTGCAATGATCTGTTTGTTTTGCTATTTTTAGTTTTTTTTTTCATTGTCTGGGGTTCATAGACAAGTAGAACTCTGGCTCATCTTCATGGACAAAGAATTTGCAATGAAGAGTCCATGCTACAATAGAGTTTCTTTCAAGGCATTTTCATAGAGTTAGAAGTTAAAAATCATATTGCAAAAACAAGCTCAATGGAAATAACATAGATTTAAAAAAGTCATATATGCATATGCACATATATATATATATATATACATACACACATTCTCTAGTGGAAACCCACATTGTTGGCCATGAAAAAACAATCTAAACTATATGTTGTAAATTAACCTTTTGTTTGAAGCTTCATATGATGTAAAACTCTATGTTGCATGCCTTTTCACTATGTTCCATGTTGTTGTGCTTTTAAGCTCTATGCTTAGTGATCTTGCAGTGTTACTTTTGGCAATCTAGAGCAACATCATGCAAATTTTGATTTTTGATTAATCAAACGTTAAATTATTGCTTCATTTTTTATGAAAACAATAAAATATACATCCTATTAGAGATGGCTTTTGTCTTCTCTGGTTTATTTTTTTGATTTATATCCTCTAAGTTGTTTTATATAAGAGATATCTATCTAAAACATAAATTTTTTTAAAAGAAATTATAATTTGTATAAACTATCAAATCTAACTATCCATAAGATACATAATTTGTCATAGTGATTTTGTAAGTTTTGGTTTGAAGCTTAAAAATATAAGTTCATTGTGATGCAATTTACCACATAATATTATTAAGACGTATTTAATAAGAAAAAAAAAGATAATAACAAAGATTATCATACCCTATAGTATCTAGCTTGGTCAAGACCTAACGACTATGCTTGTTGTCAAAGGGCAACAATGATTAGGAGAAGGTAGGATAAGTGGCAGCTGAACTTGAAGAATGGCAAAGATAAGTATTAATTAAGATTTTAGAAAGGTAATTATAGAAGTAATCTTATCTAGATAGAAGTATATAGCAAACAATACTAAAATATCTTAATGCATATTCCTACTCATGTAGAAAGGGCATTAGCTGTGGATCTTATCTTATTCTTTAAAATCTGTTATGTGCAGCTTATTGATCTGCCTTGTGTGTTTGTGTTTTTTTCATTGAAATCAAATCAAATAGATACTCAAAAAGTATAGATTGGAAAACAACATAGAATATAATAGATAGGATAAAATCTATAAGCTAATTAAAATATGATCTCTGGTAAACAAAATATGTTGCTTCTAGCATTCATGTGGATTTAGAAGTACACCTTGTTTTTAAATTTTAGTTACTGATATATTCTTTTGTAATAAAAAATGTGAACAATATAGAAATCTGATAATAAAAAAAATCAGGTATTTTTCATACACTATAAAAAATAACTTATTTATGATATATATTTTTTACATTTATTAACTACAGTAGTATATTAAAAAAATGCCAAAAAATTTAATTATTCTTAATAGTTGAGTTTCTTTTTGAGAAGGGGAATGATAAAACTTAAATTAAAGATATTTACTTAATAATTCAAAAATAATAAATGATGAAATATATTTTTAACAAATCAAATAGAAAATATTTTATAATTAATTAAATGATAGTCAAAAATAATTATAGTATAATTAATATTTAAATTAAATAAAAAATCAGAAAAATAAAAAAATCAATTATACAAAACACATTGGGGGTATAAATCAACAAAATAAACCAAGAACACAAATTTTCCTTCTAATTGGGTGCATCACTCAATCATCATTACTTTCATCAAAACTTAACTAGACAATTCACATGGCCTCAACAAAACTAAAGTGAAAGCACCTATTGAAGATAAGGGTGTTAATCAAGCCCAATTTCTTTTTGTTAAGTAAATAAATTTTAATTAGAAAATCTATTTCATTCCATAGCAAGTGAGTTAATAGCTAGCAATATCTATAATAGAATTGTTGGATGTTCTTTGGAGTATTTGAAGTAGTTAGGTGTTTGGGCAGTGGTGGTTAAAGATAGATTTGAGGAGCAGCTATATATGAGTTGGTTTGTGTTAGGCATGACAAATTGATAGAAGAAATCATTTGTTTGAAGTGTGGCTCCGCTACCATTTGAGGTTCTCCTTTTTTGTAATCTAAAATTACATACGTTTTTTCTTTAGCAAATAATTACAATCAAAGAAATCATTATATATATATCCACTATTGACATGTTAGACATGTTAAAGTATAAATCAAAAATAAAACATCTCTTTAAATCACAATATAAGAAAAGCCTTGAATTGGACTCGCCTTGATGATTACGGGTTCAACTAGTTCAATGCATTTTACATCCAATATTTTAGTAGGACTCTTTTAAAATTTAAACATATTAGTACAAAATATAAGAAATATTACTCTAAACCACTAACAATAAGATAAACATAAACTTTTATATAATTTTAGTTAAAATTAAAAACTTAAAATGAATAAAAAAATTATTATTTAATATAATAATTAATAATTGATCAAATAGGATGTAAAGTAAAAAAATCTTCATAATACAAAAATGTTAATCTTAATTTTTAAAACATACTTAATGGAATTTTTATATTTAAAAAATTTTAATAACATTGAAAAGATTTTTTTGTATATATATGTATACATACATACATACATAAAAATGGCAAATGAATAGAATTTAAACATTATTTGTATAATAAATATAGTGCAACATAATAAATTTATTAGATCAAGTTTAGATTTGATAATAAATAAATTTATATATCTATTAATACATATATATAAATACATACATACATATCTGAAAAAAATAATGCATGTGGGATATTAGAAGTGTATCAAAATATTCTGCTATATTTTTTGAGAACATTTTTATGTTTTAAAAATCATATTGAAAGAAAAAGAAGAAATTTATCCAAGAAGCAACCTTTAAAACTTATTTGTAGTAAAAAGTAAGATTGTTTGAAAGACTATTTTTGCAAAACAAGTCTTATTCTTGATCCTATTTTCTAAAAAAACTATTTTCTGCATTATACCTTATGAGTTATTAAATGTCCTAAAGGAGAAAAAAAATTAAAAAATAAAGAAAAGAGCAATCCTTTTTCAAAAGAAACTTTTACATCTCCTGTATTTTGGAATTTGATTTTCTAATTAATATACGGTAACTTTAACATTTGTTTTTTTACTATGATCTTGTCATAAATTTATGCTTGTCAAAAAATTGTCAGAAAAATCTTTATGGATATTTAATAGAACTATTTATACAACTCTTTGATGTAAATGTTCTTATTCATATGTTTCAATTATGTAATTACTACTATTCTAATTAAAAATAGAGCTGGAAAAATTTATTCTTAAAAAAATTATTACTATTATATACCATGTATTTATTAAAATTTTATTAGATTTTTAATTTATGTAAGAAGTAATTTATTTATAATTTTTCAATATTGACCAAAATAGTATGAGCTTTAAATAATAGGCTTCTTTAAAAACATTTAAGGTATAATATTAATAGATTTTGATATATATATTTTGAAAATTATACAAAATAACATATTTTTTATTATATATATAATTTTAAAATTTATATAACTATAATTATTTGTAAAATTAACATATTATTTATACTAATCAATAACTATAATTATATTAAATATCGTTATTTTTAGATTAATATATATATTCATAAAGTAATATTATGGTGAAAATATTATGTTTTAAATTTGAGCAGATGATTTGATATTAAATCTGGATATAATATAAATAATACTCATTATCATAGTATTTTTTAAACAAAAAAACATGGTTCAAATAACTTTCTTGTTATTTTTTACTTACATTTTGTGAAGCATTGTCCCACCAAACATAATGAGTTTCTTAAAAGATTTTTAGATATAGAAATATGCAATTTGAACCACAAAATTATTTTGAAATAAATAGTAGTGATTATAAAGTTTAATATGGTCTACAATCTTTTAACTTTTGATTTAGATTCTACATGCTAATATATATATATATATATATATATATATGTATGTATTTTCAAAAAACAAAACAAAAGAATGTATAAAAGTGCACAAAAGAAGTGTTTAATTATGCAGAAAAGGATATAATGATTAATATCTACCATTTCTTTTTGGAAAAAGAGCCAATTGAATTTATGAAATAAAATTTATTACTATGTTAAATATATATTCTCTTTGTGAGCATCATCTTTAAGCTTTTTGATAGCTGATAGTTATGGAAAAATATTATAATACATTTGACTCAAAAAAATAACAGGCAATTGCTCTAAAATATTTTAGAATTGATAATTAAAAAAAATAAAATTGGTTGTCAATGATTGATATTAAAAGGAAAAATAAAATAAAATACTTAAGAATATGGTGCCACAATAATAAAGTTGAATGTAAATGACATTCTACATATTAACATTCTTCTATGCTCAATTAGTAACACACTACATCTACGCTCAAAATTTAGTTTAATAGAAAAAAAAGCAATGAATGAAACATTGAATTTTTAAAAATTAATTTATGTTAGTTTACCCATTCTCTCTCACATATATATTTATATATATATATATATATATATATACACACACACACATGCACATGAAATAAATAGATGAATATATATCTATATATACATATATATATATACACATACATATTCTCACAATGTTAGAAATAGATGACGCTTGGGTTATTTCAGAATCCCACAGTATAATTAGTTCACAATTCTTTGCAAGACCGCTTTCACAATGCAGAAAACACCACTTGTTCTAGCATGGCATCATTTTGAGCCATGACGAACTTCAGACAGACTACGTAAGTATATGCATAAACCACAAGTGCACTGGAAGTTTTCCCGCAAACGGTGCTTATTTATTTGGGTCGGCAGCCAAAACTGGCTGGCTTGCTTTGCATTAAGGAGTATGTGTGTGTCTGTGCATATACATCCATATATTACTCACTTGTGGAACCACACTACAATATTCACGTCTTCGTTACCAAAACTGTTTCGGAGTATGACCAACTGCATCGATCGATGGTGACACAACGGAACTATCTACACAACCTGATTGAAAGTAGAGCAGCATCGCATGGAGTCTGCAGCTGGCTTGTTGAAATGGAACTGCTCGGTTTTATACATCTTGGCACGGACTCCAGTACCGATTGCAAGTCTGCAAGTCCAAGACAAAAGACAAAAACAACACAATTGCTTAAGCAGATAATCTGGACAGAAATAAGGATGATGAAAGTTAGAGGGATCCGTTTAAAAAGCATAAGTTGGTTGTGACATGTGGGGATTCGAAGTAAGGATTTTCCTAGTAGCTGATGTGCTAGTCATGACTGATCGTGTGGGTTGAATCATCTGGAGGGAATAATGGACTCGACAGCGGCAGCCATGGCATAATCTTCGAGCTCAAATGGCAGGCGGCGATCGAACTCCTTGATAGCATGCTTGTCAGATTCCACCAATTTGAGATGCGTGAGGTGGTGGGATACAACACGAATCTTCTCGCTCTGCAAAATAGAAGTATGACGGGTTTTTAGTAACCTTCCACTGGATGAGCGAAAGGGACGTACCCACCAGTCGATCTGCATTCTAAAGTGTCATAAGGTAATGTCAAATCACATGCTTTGTAGAAGTAATGAAACTTACTACAGCATTCATGCAGGAGCCGATGAAAGATTGGGCGTGTGCGTCACCGCTCTTTTGGGCAAGGAGGTAGTGATCGTTCAACTTTTTGTATTGCACCTACACGCGTTTCAATCCAGTGCGTCCCAGTAGTTAGCAAGAACAATATGTCTAACTAGTAACCTTCACATCTTGCCACATTCGCTTCCGAGACGATGTTGGAAAAAAAAACGTCCACTTAGACGCTTCTAACCCCTGAAAGAAATAGTAAACTTGGGCATCTTCCTGTACAAGAGTAGTGGTAAACTTCATGCAGATCCTCAAAAGCAAAAATACAGATTCGAACAACTTACCTTAAAGACAGCGAGGGTTTTCGCAAAAGCTACAACAACGTCGGAGCCTTCTTTGTGGGTCATCCAACCAGATGGAGGAGCAGCGGTGGGACCAAATTCCACCTTTGCACCGCGCTTGGCCATGAAGTCCATAATCAACAAGGAGTCGTTCGTTTCCACTTGAGAAATTACCTGATGGAATTTTTTTGTTGACAGTGACAAATTAGTAAAATGTTGTGTAAAAATGTAGATCAGAAGCACGCATTATTCCAAACTTTCCAGGGCAAGAGGCTTGCCTTGAAGAACAGGGAAACACCAGGCAGGGCAACATTGTCGCGGCTGAAAAAGGCGGACATCGATTGAAAGAGTGCACATGCGTTGCGGTTGAAACTGAATACACGACAAATATCCAATTGTGAGATAAAAAGATTAATTTCTTTAATCACTCCAAGCCAAAAATCGTCATTGAAGCCATATCAAAAATGTTGATGCAAGATGCAGAATTTAGAACGATATTCCAGACAACGAAAAATCTACTGACCCAGAAGGCATTGATTCCACGACATCAACAGGCTGGTATAGCGAAAGGTAAATGAGAGTTGACAGCAGCATGAGCAAAAAGTGATAGCATTACGTGATTGCCACGTTGAACAACTTATCCACTTCATCGGATGCAGCAACAGAGCGAGCAATTGACGCAGATGCATCACCAATCCTCACTTGGTGAATCTTCTGAACCTCCTCCTTGATCTGCACATGAGGCACACATACGCACTTGTCTAAGACATGGCGCAAACATCCTGCGAAAATATGGCATGTAAAACATCAAGCTACATGATTAAGCTCTAGAACAAAGCTCAAGTAGAGTGAAGCCTCACCTCATCCATGCAGGGGAACATCTCGAGGTGGGCCATTGTGAAATATAGTAAGCTTGCTAAACCTGCACATAGAGAAGCTAATCAGTAAGTTATGTGATTATATAATTAATAGGTGACTATATGCAAGCATTAAAAGCAATCAGCTTCACAGACGCCGCTCGGAACAATCAAAGTTTCTTTAGGCAGACCTGCTCAGGAGAATGTAAAAGACAGAAGGAGAGATACCTTCTAAGGATCGGGCACAATCGAGAAGCAAACGCAGGAAGCTAAATCAAGAGGTATCGGTATCGCGAAACTCTTGCGTATACTTTGAAGATGGCAAAGTGTGAGGGATAGTGCTGCTGGAGGTCCATTTAAAGCAGATCAGCAACCCCAGCACTCGCTGCATGCAATCCAATTGTTATGCGGAAGCTCGACATGGGCGGCATGCGACAGATACAGGTCAAGTGATCTTTCCGAGTCATCAGTGCAGGAGTGCCATGCGTGTGACGTAAATCCAGCAATAAAATATTTCAGGACATGCTGTGAACTATTTCACTGTGCTGAACAGATGGTGACTTCTCATGCTGAAGAACGCGATTGCCATTTGAAATTCTTCTCCTGCGAATATGCCACTAGCACCCAAATACACTTACACTTAAAAAAAGAATTACACATATATGTTGATCGTTTAAGGTCTATGTTTACTTTAAAGGAAAACGATAATTCCATACTATAAACTGCAATGGAAATTTATAAAACAATTCCAAGAAACGTTTATGAAAGAGGAGGAAGGCCTAAGCTGCTCAGTGGCGACAACAAACCTGGGTAGAACGTCTGACTGTGCTTGGATGGACTTTTCATCAGGCAGATGCTGTGTGGCAACGACCTACATGAACACACATGTGGTAAGAAATGGAATAAAATCCATCGAATTTGTCAGAAAAAAGTTCGGGTACGACGAAAAGTTCATCTATTTCACGATAAATTCGGACTATTGACGTCGGTGATGTAAATTTCTCATTGGGTCAATATTGCGTGGCAAGTAAAGAGGTTGATGACATGTTCAACACATCCATTCCGTAAAACTACTCAGCAGTCTCCTCCTCCATCATGCTCATTTCTTGACGATAGGAATCGACATTTCAGCTTATGAATTAGAGAATTTGTTTGTCATTTTGGGTCTTCGTTGCCCTGTACTCGAAAGAATCGTCCTGTTCGAAGCAGTAATAACTAGCATTTGAAAACAACATGGCATACCCCCTCCGAGGTTTATTGAAACGGAAACTGTCTGATGATTCAAAACATTTACCTGGTCCAAGTAATATTGCACTGATTCGGCACTAAACATCGCCACGTCTGTCTTTTTAGGTGAGACAATATAAGTCTTCCTGGGGTGACATTATGCTTCAAGAAACAGAGTATTATCCTCTAGCACGCAGATTCAATATCGTCATGTGATATTCTCACACTCTGCATATACACACAAAGAGAGTGGAATGAAAAGGAGGTGTATGAGAAAGAAAACATACAATGCTGAGAATGAGCTACCCTAAAACCATATATCCTTGATTGATACGCTCTTGGGCCAGATAACTTCAACAGGTTTCAAGTTCAGTGCAGCAGGCTCTCAGATGCAGAGAAGATTGTGACCAGGTGATAACCCAAACAGAAATAAATGATTCATGGCTGTTCATTGGCTTCAAGTTCAGGAGAAGCGCAATGATCTTTAACTCCAGCCCCAATGATTCCCCATGGGGATATCTACATTCTTACATAGATGAATCTCCTGGCATGGCCTTCATGACACCAGGCATTGCTCACCAATGGCCATTCTTGTTCTCTATGACTGAGAAAAGACAACCTCGCCAACTGTAATTGTTACTTCCATCAGCACACGTAACAAGATATGCACACAATCAGTACAAAAACTATAGTGTGCACACACAAATATTTTATCAGACACATGTTCTGCGAGGACTAGTTAGTTTTCAGACTCGATCTAGGTCCACACATAAATATTCTTAAAAATGATCACACTATAACGAATGTATAACGCCTGAACCACAACATTGCGTACAACTCTACAACAAAGTTTACAATACAGTATGCACCTTTTGATTTCTGGAGTGATTCTGGAGTGGTTGAAAACCGTTTCAGCACCAAGGGTGTCGCTGCCTTGCAAAACTTCAGCATTTTCAGTAGCTGTAACAAATGAAATCATTTCCAAATACGTTCGCTTATTTTTAGTATTGCACTTAAATGCAAATGTTGGCAGTTCCTCCGTCAGATGAGCCACTACTCCACAGTACTCGACATACAGGATCTAGAAAGTAAAGATTGGTTTGATGAATCAATAAGACTCAAAGCTTCAAAACTTTTGCAAGTATTTGTTACACAAATGCCATCTACGAATTTTAGCGGTTAGATGCAATAGCGTACCAGGGAGCTTAACGACAACAGAGTGCAGAGCTTTGAATGGTCCCAGCTCCAACGTTTACACGAATGACGGAATGTCGAACTGGCTGTACGCAGGGTCACAGAAAAACAGGCCCGTATTGAGAATTGCTTACTATGGACAGCAATGGACTCTTGCTGATGTTAATAATGTTTGAATAGGATCATCGGTCACGAACTTTGAGGATTATATCATGTGCAAAGAAAATGTGAGCTCTAATCTAGAGAGTGATACCGTTGTTTAGTCCAACATGACGTACGTACGTACAGCTACAAATCAAACGCGCCATGGACAGGGTATGTCAATACTGGGACTGTCAGGGAAAATGTGAAGTATATGCAAAGAACTTATTGGGGTAATTTGCGAGAACGTTCCGTCGGAGAATCCATGCCTGATAATTTGAAGACCAAGAACCGCTGCTAAGATATAAAATAGGAACTCACAGGTACGTTTAACACTGGTATTCAAATATCTGTGATCAGATAATTTTTCAATCGCAACATCTATGGCCAGCTTCAAGCAAACTAACGAAGTTGATGTCCCTATCAATCACACTCACGTTCATTTCAAACTAATTATGTCAAAACGGTCTTTGTACATAAATCAAGATAACACCCAAGTAAGAAGTCAACCAAAACAGCATTCCAAAAGTTAGTTTTAATAAAAAGACAAATACAGAGTCTCATGAGTCTCGTGGATCCTTCAAGTTGATGCCTTCGACACTGGAATTTTATTACTGAGAAGATATAGTAATATACCACCGGCAATGGCCACATTCAAAGACTCAAAGTCCCCGGGCATGGGAATAGACATCCGTTCACATGATCGAGATGCATTCTCTGACAGCCCCTGCCCCTCACTACCGAGGATCAAACAGAGAGCTTCCTTACCTGAAGCAACTGTAATGGCATCACCGTCGTTCGAGATATAATTCTCATGTTCAGATTTATGATCAAAAGATGGCCAGGTTCCCTTTTGGTCGGGATCCGCTGCGTATAGCTTCATCTTGTGCATGCTGGCGAAAGACTGCAGCTCAGACCAACGGCCAGTCGCAATGGGTAACCTGAAGGATGCACCCCTTGAAGCTCTAAGTGCTTTCTCATTGAAGGGATCACAGCCGCCTGGTAGCATAAAAACTCCATCCTGCACAAGAAAAATCGCCGATCACACCGTAGTATAACATTTGTTATTTACAAGTGAAGAAATTGGGACACTGGAAAATGAAACCACGCATAAAAACAAAAGGTTCTGATTCCGAGGTATTGAAGACATGAAGTTGAACAAATGGCTCAAATTCCTCTTCGTTGCAATACTAGAAAGAGACTGAACATAACCCTTAATACGGGTGCCAAAAATACTTTAGCCCCAAAGTATTGCATCAAAAGAACTAAGAAACTCGGAAAAGAATTGGATGTTCTCATGAAATATAGCTAAACAAAACAGCATACCCAAGCAAAGGCTGCAGCAGTTCGCAGTAACGTGCCCAAGTTGCCTGGATCCTGTGGACGCAACAATTCAATTTACACTACGAATTTCAATTCAACCGAAATATATATATATATATATATATATATATATATATATATTCTAGCGCATTGAGAATAAAGCTGAACATAAGCCTGAAATGCGAATTTAGCTTATCCCCCCTGAGTATTAGAACTTGTCAATCTCTTCTGTGATGGAATGAACAAGTCGCTATAGTATTCAGCCTAGACCATGAATGACAATCAACTCCCAGATTTGCCTCTGCCGACGACAAAACGAGGCCAAAGGAAACGTAGGGTGTAAAATATACTCGCAAGGTAAAGAGGTGGACAAAGGTTAGACTTACCTGAATGCCATCGAGCACCAATACACGCCGAGGAGAAGAAAGCCAATTCATGGCTGTGTCCCCAGTACCCTCCAAATTACAAAAGGAGGCAGGAAGGGCCAGCACACCAACACCTTGAAGACCTTGTGTAGAATCTACACCAGCCACTTTTCTTAGCACCGGTTCACTAACATGTACAATCCGTTCAGCCCACGAACTTAAATCTGACCGAGGATTCGTGTCCTCCAAAATCAGCAAAATTTTGATCGGTTTTAATGAAGTCGGGCTCCCTCTAGTGAGCAGTTCACATATCTCCCTTCAAGAAAGCAACAAGTTTAGTCCTTCCTTAGCTCCTGGAAGTAGCAATAACCCTCGCATTTGAAAAATAATCAGCGTGTAATTTTCTCAAATTATGAGCTAGCATGGCATCCAAGCCATCTCTTATCCTAAAATACGCCCCCATGGAATAGATAACCACGGACCTTCCTGTAGCAAGGGTGCTGGAAACAGTAACAAAAATATATACAACAATGCAAGAAGCAAAAAAAAGTCAATGATTTCCTCCAAATTATACAAAATAAAACTGAAAATACGGTTACCCTGGGTGAGAGAAAGCAATGCACCTTAGGGGCACCGAGCCCACAACTACAACACATCCAGCCGAGTTCCGGTAGCTTGCTTTCTCACGAAGCTTTACCAAATGCTTCACAAACGGATTCCCGACGCTGGTTATTGTATCCACATGACCTGCCAGCTCTACGGCATTCTTGCTGCTATCACTACTCTCTCTGAATATCTCAGAGCGACCTTTCCTGCCCAATTCACCATTCCTTGAGCAATGGAATTGCCTCATGCGACCCTCCTCTCGCTCGTCGCTCTTACAACCATCTGAAGAATCCCTCCTTCGATACGCATCCTTAAACCCAACGCCCCCAGATCCAAGGTGCCCCATCTTATCATAGCCGCTAGCTTCTGCACGTGCAATCCTCGACCTCTTCTGACCCTGTTCTACCACTCCTCTCCGGCCTTGCGCTACGAAAGCTCGCATGTCCCTCGTGCAAGCAGAACCCTTCTTCCATCCCTGCAACGTGAGATTACTAAACCCCACATCTACAGCTGACCCAACAACAGCTGCGCCCCCACGGTCAAGACTCCACAACGCTCCTTCCATAGCGTTCACAGATTTGATACACAAAGAAAATCTAGAGATAGGAGTAGCAAAATTAGGGCATGCTTGATGGGAATCTGATGCTGCACATCCTCCTGGCGCCAATCTTCAACAAGATTGTGGGATAATTGCATCCCGCCTTTGCTTTCTTGCCTAATCCTCCATATCCTTACGTCGGTAGCTTTAGAGGTTTGTTTCGGCGTCAGTCGGACGAAACCCAAGGATGTGTGGACGAACGAACAAATGACAAGACGAACCAGTACGCAACGAAATCTGGCAGCAGACTACCACTTGGGCAATATTCTCGGACTTTGCACACACTTGGTGATCCCCACAAGGCAAAGTCCACCCATTTTCATAATTTGCATTTTCATATGTAAGGGAGTGAAGCACTTAATAACTTGGGGCCTACTTCCATAATATTGAAAAGAAGAAAAAAATGTTTGAAATTTTCTCTTAAATAGGTAAATGATGGTGTGTTAGAGATTGGGGGAGAGTTTTGGCATTGTCACCATTCTCTTTTTTCTTTTTGCCATTGTCACCACAATCTGTCATCCACTTAACATATTTGTTTAGATTTTTTAAATTCTAATTAAAAATATAAAAATATATAGCTAAATTATACAATGTGAGTATTATTCACATCAAATAGTTTTCTAAAATATTTTTCTTTAAACTTGTAATAATAATAAAATATATGTTAAATAATTATTTGGACATGAAAGATGAAAGAAGAAAATATATGTACTCACACAAAAAATTGATTTGGATCACAATCAATATAATATTCTATACCCATCTTCTCCCAATTTCCATTAACCCTTACCTTAGATAGATGGAATTTTTTTTGACATACACTACTGGAAAAAAGGCATGAAACAAACTATTCGCTATTGAATTGGATCACTGCACTATTCCATATCCATCCTCTCCGCTATTGCCCCAAATACCACGCTTAGTTGGGAGTGAAAATGAATTTTGTAACCTAAAGGGCCGATGGGTATGAAGAAGGTAATTGGAATTTCGACGTTGCGAGTAAAACAAGATTTTGCGTTAAAAGCTCGATTCACGATCTTTCAAATCGCCGAGTCACATTATCCTGACAATCTCTCAACAACTTTCATCTGTCATGAAACTGACTCACAGGTCTCATAACTTGCATCGGTGCATGCAAATCGCCACCAGAAGTCTAAACGCGATGACCTCACAAGAACAGCTTCCGAAAGGTACAGGAAAAAAACAAAAATTCTGTCTTTGAACGCTCTCGATCAAGTGTCTTGGCGAATTCTGTCAAGACTTGTTAATGCGATGCTGTGTCTGGAGATGCTAGAATGCTCTATTTCAAAGCACTACAAGTGGATCAGGACACTCAGGATTAGTGTGCCAAGTCCCTTAATGTTTTTGAGGGAAATCCTTCAGGTTCTAAGCTTGTGAAGAGCGCTTGGCATCCAAGCATGGAATCCAAAAAGATTGGATGATGGATGGAGCTGTTGAGGAATTGTGCGTGTAAGAGGAATGTCCTCACATTTCTCTTCTCCCCTGGCTCTGCAGCTCTTGCTCATTTCTTGCGTTGTTCCTATCAAGTGGAAGTTCTCTCCGAGTAAAGTCACGAAGCCATGCCTGATTTTTGTGATAAGTAAACCGCCAATCTTCATTATTGAGCGCGAAGGTGCTGCGGAATCTTAGAATTACTGGTTGGGAGGTGTTAATTTCAAGTGAAGTTTAGGTTGCGCACCAAGTATGTGTCAAGTTAGAGGAATGGTCATTCATCATCAGGACTTTTGGTGTCCATTGGTTGATGTTCGGCGATCGCGTTTAACGTGTTCCCAAGCTGGTATGGGTTAGTTTCACGTGATTCATGATTTTGAAATTTGAGTTCAGCCTCCAACCTCAATGGTCTTCATAACTATGTGTCCGACCAGATAGTTGGGTACTGAGGTGAACCTGTTAAGATCATGGACGTCATCCACTTAAGCAAATTATGTCTGATGTAACGGTTTGAGTGCCTGAAGTTGTGTCCTCGCTATCTTCCTACCTCCAAAGGTCAACACCTTTGTAGCCTAAATCTGTTCCTGTTACCGTCTTTACCTTTATTTCACGTGAAGGTGCTTGTGGGACTCGTGGAGTGGCGAGTCTGAACATAGTAGTCTTCATCCCTATGTCCGTAGCAGTCGTGCAGGAGTATGTCTTTCGCAGTTCGTTTTAAAAGCAATTTTGGGGAGCCTAAATTTTTCTTTGTGGAAGTTTAGGCCCAGTGGGATGTCGGAGGTTTTAGTGTGATGATGAGCAGTCGTGGAGCGGTTTGGCTGTTGCAGGTGGACGTGAAAACGAATGATTTTTTCTTTGACATTGTTAGAGCCAAAGAAGGATAGCGAGTGTAACTATGGATAGGTATTCCTTGTTCTCCATGTGGCCTCATGCGTCAACAATGAGCACAATCACAAGGTACGAGTCATTCTTGCCAATCTGTCCTTGTAGTTGGGAGCTTTATGAATCAACTTCACTGAATTGCAGTGCATAGCCCCTCCAACAATGCATCAATTGCTATTAGGATGAATTACTCTACCCTTTATAATTCATGATTTACCTGTCCTTAAGCCTCTTCTAAGTAGGTTGAACTATCGAACATGCAGACCTCCGTCATTTTTCAAATACTGCAATCTCTGTCTTATTTCTGAACTTGTTCCCGGATTGTGAAATCTCTGTGGTAAGCACGGCATCCAATTTAGGGTTTGATATCAATGTTGACTGATGTTACGAGTACCCCATCAGCAACCAGTTCCAAGGGTTACGAAAGTGTCATAAACTTATCAAAGCTGTTGGGGACCAGTTAAAAGGATCTTTGGGTTACGAATATCCTAATGTTCAGTTTTCCTTGTTCTTTTAATAGGGTTACAAAACATGAATGTAAGACTGATAATGGCAGTGGTCCATATTGTGTTGAATCGACAGCTCTATTGCAGATCAAATTGAGAGCAATACATGTCCAATTTGTTTCGAGCTTATGAAATCTCCAGACTTTTCGCCTATTCTGCTTTCTCCTTGCGGCCACACATTCTGTGCCAAGGTATTGTTTTCTCCACTCAACTGTTCTGCTGAACTTTGGGTTGGTTCCGAGGCATTGTAATCGTCACGTTTTTGTTGATCGATTCTGTTTTGCTTTGTTTTTTTGTTCACTATTTTGAAGTACTCGTTTAAGTACACCTGGACTAGTGGAGTTGAGATGACATGTCGGAGGTAATGAAGATAAGGTATCACCTTAACTCGGTTGTTGCCTTCTCCAAGCAAACCTAGTGGCTTCAATCTCATGCAAGGACTCTAAATGGTTTGTGTTCAATGTCGCCAGACGCTATGCTTACCAAGCCTTTGCTCGCACTGCCAAATTAATCGCAACAGATGAATTGTGTGACATGTTAGGAGCAATTACTTTTTTCCAGAGAGTTTTTCTTTTATGATCTTGTTTTTGTTTTTTCTTTCTTTCTTTGGTATTCTTAATATTTTTTTTGGTCACTTTTTCTCCTGAACACCATTTGGGATTCATAAGTGAGAAAGATCAATAAATTTAGTAGTGTCATTCCTTTTATTACGCAGTGTGTGTCAAGGCATGTGTCAATACACGAGAAGCAATCACGTTACGGTGGACCTCTCCAGCCAGCTCCTTGCCCTTATTGCAGGCAGAATATATCATCACAGACCTTGAATATATCACTCCAAAAGATGATTACCAGCATTCTTTCGTTGCAAGAAACACTTGAGAAAGCTGATGCGGACACAGGTGGGTTCCGTGATGGATTCCTTCAGGCTCAAACTCGCTGCGAGATTCTACAAAGCGAGCTACAGGAATCCATGCGCAAAAAAGATGTAAGTACGATCCTTCATCCAACCTTGTTCTGAGCTAAAAGTCATCTTACTAATTAATGTTTTCCTGCACAGAGGTTTCAATTTTAGAAATGAGTTCACCTCACCTACAGCAGAAATTTCCGGTACTAGTCATCCCCTGCAGCTTAATTATTAGTTTTCGCAGGATCCTGCAACATAAAAAGTGCACTGTCTTCACAACTTTCAATACATATGAATGCAGAAGAGCATCGAACACTCAGGGAGAAAAGAATACTCTCCTTGTGTGTTGGATGTAGCAATTTCTCTGTGTTGGAAAAAGAAAACCTGACGTTACACTTAGCAAAGAAGGTGCAGTAATTATGGTAAAACTTAGAATCTAAAAGATAATCTTTTCTCATCAGCCCTTAGGTCTTTCTTGTAAAGACGAGCTACTCCTCTGAACCTTTGCAGCGTCAAAATCTCCATCAAGTCTTGTTGAGGACCAGCGTTTTCAAGCAGAAAAAGCATGAGAATTGCCAAGATCATCAGTTGATTGATTTGTTGCCAACCGTAATATCCGACCCAATGCGGTGCCGGCTATTCTCTTTCAAACTAAAGACCACAAATCGTCATATCATGCAGAGAATGGAGAGAGAAATTGCACAAACTGATGAAGCTCTGATCCAGCTGCGGGCAAAGGAAGAAGCTCTGGAGGAGAGCATTCGTAAGGTAATTCTTAAACTACTCTATACTAGCCGTTCAGCTGCAACCTTCCAACATTTTAACACATTAAGGAATGTTAAAACCAGTTCGCCTGTATTGTTTTCGAGCATGCTGAACTTGACGAACTGAATACCCTGCCTGTGCTAGACTAGTTCGGAGCATCAAAAGGTGCTGACCGATTTGATGGATACTCGGAATAAGAGTACTACGCTAAAGTTCTGCCGCGATGAGATAGTGACCAAGTTGAGTCTCATCCAAGCGTCCTTGTTTGCACTAGAGCAGGTACTGCACTAAGCATTTAAGACACTCAATTTGGAAAATTTCTCGTTGCCTTGCACATCGCACCCGTTGAACGGTTGAAGATATGATCGAACAAGTCTGTAGTGCCTTCTCTCGTTATCACAAGGATTCACTAAACCAGAATAAGAAATCCTGTAAAGCCATAGTAAACATTCAAAATGTGATTCCAATGCTTTGAAAACCTACACGTCCACATTCAGTCTTCACATCATGAAACTTGAAACTTCAAATGAATATTAATTAGCTAAACCTGAAATCCTCCGTTTTGATTTCACCTCGGATGGACCGTTATTCAAGAATCAGTAGGTGAAGACTCACCTGCATCGAGCCGCCGGAGCCAGTCCAGGTGCTAGTTTGTAAGTGCCCAGGAATTCTGTAGCACATGCAAACGTCATCACATGTGGCCATGTTAGAATGTTGCTAATACAGAGACAATAAATTTCCTTCACAATGCCAGGAGCGTGATAAATACAGACTGCTTTCTCAAGATGATCATTGTGTGCTCACTGCCCACTGATGATCGCTGCAACGGCTAAGCTTTGGAGTGGGTGAGACCATGACTCAGAGACATGCCTCAGAGATGTCTCCCACATGGAGCTTTAGCTGTGTACCCAACAGTCAAAGCTCATTGCAACGCACTTCTTCTTTACTATTTCGGAGGAAGGAAATGTGAAGAAACTCCACATGCAACTGTGCGTGTGGACAACTTGCTTGAAGGAGAATCATACAGATAAAAATGAGTGTCGGTTAATACTTTCTTGTGTTCATCATTTAGCTTAAACAATATATCTTTTGTTAGTTGAACATATTTTTAGATGAGATTTCCAAGAAACAAACACTGATTGTAACAAAGTACGAGCATTTTTTTTTTGTTGTGAATAGAATGTTGCGTTCCTAATCAACCACACGTGCACCACAGATAAATAAAAGAAAACCAAAAATATATGTGACTTTTCTGATGGAAAAGTTTACTCTCTCTATATAATTTTTTTCATGCATTTTCTCTCCTTTCTTTTTACTCTTTGATTAAGCCAAAAAACATCTTTCAAATAACATATTATAGTCTTGTCTCTCAAGTAAGTGATCACAAACTAGTGTGGAATAATAATTTAGTTCGGATATTTATGACACTACTTAAGATATGATGTTTCTTTAATTTTGTGTAAAGATTATGTAAAGACTAAGATATTAAAATAATAGTAATAGAATACAATTCAAAACTAAAAAATTAGAATTTAAAATTTCTCTATTCAATGATTAATTAATTTATATTCTTCAAATTAAATAAAAATTATAAAATTATAAAATTATAAAATTACAAAAATAAAAAATATATTTAAAAAATAATAAAAAATAAAATAAACAACAAGTTTGATACTTATTCTTATATTTTTTTTATAGCTATTTGTAACTAAAAATGATCTTTTGTTTTAATTAGATAGAAAACCAAAAATCAATAAATTTGTTTCAAAAACTAATAATTAGAAAAATATTAAAAGAATTACTTAGATGGTTGCAATTTTTAATATTACAATAAATAAATTATAATGTAAATTTTTAAGAATAAATTTATACTATTTTTAGATAAATAATAAATTACAAAGTATTTGATATTACAAATTTGAAAGAAATTCTATATATTGTATAGTTTACTTAAAAGTAGATACAATATTTAATAGAATTTTAGGTATTTTATTTTAAAATAATTATAAGAATCTCAATATTATTCAATATTTGTATGTTTTTTTATTTAGATAAACAACACTATTAAAGGTGCAAAAAAAATCAATTGTTTTTATATAAAATACAAGTTATAATTTGTTCTATATAATAACCAAAAAAATTTCGATTACTTAAAAATGAATCAACTTCAAAACTTATTTTTATTTATAAAAATCAGTGTTAAAAGAAAAAATAAGATAAATAAAAGTAAATGGTGAGATTGCAAAAGTGTCATAGACATAAATCATAAACAACCAAAACATCAATATACTCTAGTACCCTCAAAAAGAGTAGATATTTACTCAAAGATAGTATAGTATTAAAACTATAATGGCTATTGCTAAGATAAAAAAATTAGAGACTCTTGAAACAAGACTAAAAACAAAAAAAAAATTGATAGTATTAAAAAGGCTTCACTCTTGCCTCCATATATACTATCTAACTAGGAACTATATGGCAATGTTCCATAGGACCTCCAATATGTGTTTAACTTGCAAAACACATGACTAACTTACAAGACAAGTTTCTAGCATGTATATGATGTGGCTAAATTGTACCACAAGTCATTAACATATACAACACATAGCCAATTTGTTGGTTAAGTTTTCAACTTACTAATAACCTACAAACACATAAAAAATAAAATTTATGTTTATGAAGCTTCCAAGAAGCTTCTCCACAAGATCTTATTAAATCTAATTACTTCTACTTACTCCTATCTAACTCCTTAAATATAGGTAAATATGTATATTTGTAACAAAAAGAGAAGGTATAACATCACATGCAACCACATCATCTAAAATAAATAGAAATAATAAAAAAATGAATAAAAATGGATTAGATTATTACTATCTTTGTTGAAAAACATTACAAAAGAAGTCTAAACATACATTGGATCTATAAGTAATTTTAGTTATATTTTAAATTAATAAAAAAAAAATCTTAGACATTATTTTAGGATCTAAGAAGCTAATACAAAAGTATAGTATAATATGCATACATATCATATGAGTCACATGATTTTTTATATCTTTTATTTAATTATATTATTAATTAGTATATATTAAAAAAAAAATTGAGGCCATTATTAATCTCATCAATGCATCTTTTGTATCCTACTTTTGGTTCAAGTCTCTTTAGTTTATTTATACTTAGCAATGTATATTATAATTCTTTGTTAATTTAAAAATATGAATTTTTTTAATCTTCTTTTTTATTGTTTAGAATAAAAATATTTATTTATTTTAAAGCAAACTTATTTAAATCATGTCTCCAATCTAAGATACTTTATTTAATTTTGATATTTTTTTATTATCTTTATATGATTATTATTATTTCTAAAACATATTATTCTTTATAATAATTTTGTACAATCATTTTTTTACTTGAAATTTAATATTTATAAATATTTTGTTAAATAGAGTTCCAAGTATAACAAAAGAAATTTTGGTTAATTGATGCAACAATGATATTATATCTCTAAAATTTTAAATTGATCTTTTTAATATAATATTAAGTATTAAACTATTGTTGATAATTCTGCAACTACTTGGATGATTTTCATAAAAAATCACCTTAAGAACTTGCATCTTATATATGTAATCTAATGTTTTTATTTAATTTAGTCAACTTGATTTTTGAAATATAAAACATCATCCATGTAATATTTTTATTTTTTGTTTTAAAAATAATAAATCAATCCATAGTTAAATAATTGTCATTTCATAATAAATAGAACTAAAATCTAATTGCACATGTGGTCTTTTTTATTAATTTTTATTTATTTATTGGTTTTATCAGAATTAAGTATTGAAACTTAATATAAAATGACATTTCAATTTAGTTTCTATTTTCTTGCACTATCTAATTTAATTATCTTTAAATTCTCCTTGTCGCCTAAGCTCCTTTAAAATTAGAATAACATAAATATCAATTAATATGATAAGATTTTATTTAAGTAAAATAAAATAAAATAAAAATTCAATTTATAGCTTCAGCACAAAAATTTATGTACTATTTGAAATTATTTAAAAAACATATAAAAAAGAATTTTATTTCTTTAAAATTGATATCTTTTAAATTAAATAAATCAAACTTATAATGTCTTTGAAACACCTATTATCTTTAATATTATAATTAAGCAAGGCTAAGACTTATTGTTTGACCATTTTGTAATTTGCTACAAAATCTTATAAAAGACAATCTAATGACGTGAAATAAGAAAGAATAAATCCTTTGATTATTAATTTTGATTATTTTTTTAAAATTAAATAGTTTGGTTTAGATTTTAAAAAATTAAAAAGAAAAATACTTTAAAACACATGCCTATATGCCTATAAATATATAAATATATGAGATTATGTATATATATATATATATATATATATATATATATATATAATTTTGATATGTGATTTATTTATATATTGAAACATATAAATATTCTTATATTATTTTCTAATCATTTTAATTAAAGTTAATAGCTCAAATTAATTTCTATTAATTTTTGTAATTTTAATGTTTATAAATGTGTTTTAGAAAATTTCTTGTTCACATGTATTTCTAAATGCCATCAAGTAAATACTTCTTGTTGCAATTTCTATAAACTACAATTATAAGTAGTTATTTAGAATATGCTTGTTTTTAAAATCTTAATAACATAGTATGTAGATACATATATATATATATATATATATATATAGTAAAGAATCAAAGGATGAAATAAAAATTTAATAATATATTTTTGCACAATATTGGAATAAAGCCATAATATTCTTGTTGTGATTAAGGATGCAATTAAATTCTTGAACACTAAATACGAAAATTGCAAAAGAAATGCAATATTTTTTGTTATTTTTCTTTAATCTTTTATGCTAATTTATTTCACTAATTTTTAAAACTGCAACCATACATCTGTTTTCTTGTATTTGCTTATCATTCTTTCACTTGTCCATAAAAAAATATATAAAACAACTTGCTTGTCACATGCTTCTCTCAAATCTCAAACTCTTTCTTCAATACTTAATCAACTTTTTTTTTACTATTCACAAACATGATACAACAAAACTTCATCTTTTGTACTATTTGGCTTGTATGTTTCATAAGACCATACAATCCTTCTGCATATATATGTTTGAGAATGAACGATTTTGAAAAAGATGAGTAATCACAGTGTGTTTTTCCCAATAAAATTACACTGCAGATTATATAAAATACTATATTATTTTGTTTTATATAGTGGACTAGCCCTAAACCCTAAACCCCCAAGAGGCAAAGTGTTTGTTCTGGTTCCGATTCCGCAGAGGGCATCGCAGTTTGTGTGAGTTTCTGCGAGAATTTGAGGTGGACGACGATGGCGCAGGGCGATGAATTCCTCGGAGCTTGAGCGCCGCATTCTATCAATCAAGCCTCCAATCCACTTTGGGAGGGAGGGAGGGAGGGAACTTGTGCACTTGGTTGTGGGTGCAGCAGCGGTGCTGTGAGCGGCGTTGCGACGGAGATGAAGTTCTCGGCGTATCCAGTGGTGGATTTGAGCGTCGCAGGGGAGACGTTGCATTTCGAGCAAGACAATGGATCCATGTACGTGGGTACATCAGTGTGGCCGTCTTCGTTGGTGCTGGTGAAGTGGGTGGAGCATGTGTTCGAGCGAGGGCTGTCCTCTGTGTGTGCGGGCCTGTCTCTGGCGAATTTTGCAGGGAAGAAGGGAGTGGATTTGGGTACTGGGGTTGGAGTCGCTGGATTGGGGCTTGCCCTCATGGGGTTGAATTGCCTGCTCACAGACATTGCGCCCGTCATGCCCGCTCTGAAGAGGAATTTTAAGAAGAACTTGGGGAGTACTAGCTTGGGTTCAGCAGGGAAGGCGGGTGTGAAAGCCGGGAAGGTCAAAGTGGCTCAGCTGTATTGGGGCAATGAGAAGCAGATTGAAGCTCTGAAGCCTCCCTTTGATTACGTTATAGCCGGCGATGTGGTGTACTTGGAGAATATTGTGCAGCCGTTGCTGGAGACCATGAGTGCCCTTGCCGGGCCGGAGACCATTATCATACTCGGTTATCAGATCCGGCAAGCGGAAGCGCATGAGCTGTTCTGGAGGCTCTGTCCAGAGTATTTTACGGTTGTGAAGGTGCCTCGTGAGGAGCTCCATCCCGAGTATTGTTGGCCAGAGAACGAGGTGTATATTCTCAAGAAAAAGTGAGGTGTAAAGGTTTACAGCTAGGGTTAAATTGTAAAATCATCTTTGGGATTGGTTTCCGAGGAATTGTCATAGCTATGACCAGGTGTAAACTCTCGCATGCAGTATACCTAATGCATGTTTTTGAATCGTAGTAGCGTCAACAGAAGTCGGGTTGTGAGCTGAGGATTTGTTTATGGTATCACCACCAGATTCTAAGAATGTATGTGCTTACTGGAAGACACAACTGGAAGCAATTTATTCGCTCATTCAAATTAGACGCAATTTTCCAAATGATGAGGATGGAGACGGCCGAGACAGATCAGGGAGTTTACTGTTATTTGAGTTCAGGATCATCGATATCATCATTGCCTGATAAACTGATTGGTGTAGCTAGCTCCGAACCAGTCTTCCTCAACATCTAGGAGAGTGATGCAAAATATTTGCAACCTCACCTAATTCGTTTCCAATTGTTTGCTGGAGCACACAATCAGAGCCCGCAACCTTTGCAGCAATTCACTATTCATCTTTCAGACCAAGACATCAAGACTTTCCGGGTTGTCGCAGAAAGCATGGTATTTGCCTTAGTCTTCCTCTAACGCAGATCATCAGGATCAGGTGGGATCTCGAATGCAAGGTCTTAATAACCTGTGTTAGTGAAGCACACTCTTGAAGCAGAGTGCAGGGAACAGCATAGTTATCTGCAATCAACGAAGGGAAGAGTAGGAGCTGCATCAGTTTCGAGAGAGATATGGGGAGAGTTGGAAGGATATCTGCATGTCGCAAGCTCTGCTCTATGTGCTTGTGTTGATCATCGAGAAATTGACCCAGCTCCAGGTATTGTGACAATGCGACATGTGATGATTTTCCTCCGAGGTGAACTTGTTTCTGTGAACCTATTCATCTTCTGTACTGTTTTCTGTAGACCTAGAGTTAGAAACTGTTCTGTTTACAGTACCCTAACTTGTCAAGGTCAGTCTGAAAAGGCATCAAGTATAATCGACAGAAAAAGAATGAATATGTGTTTAGCATAGAAAACTCCTCACACATTGAGGTGTGATAGCGCTACTGTTATAATCATTTAGAAGGTGAGAGACGTCATCTTTCTGAAATTGCTTTCTGAGTTTTGTGCATTCCGCTTGATTTTTTTCATTTTCCAATCTTTTTTGGTAGTTTTCTTTTCAAACAATCCTAGCTGAAAATAGATGATTTGTAAATGATTGGTGAGTATTTAATATAAAGATAGACAAATATTAACTATCAATAACCCTAATGTATTTGTGAATATTACTTGGTATAAAAGAATGTCACTAAAAGACCTCTAATGTGATTGATTATTTTTGTTGAAGACTAAAGAAAGAATTTTATCACAAATTTTGTTTGAGGTGCCTATATTTAATCACTTAATTAGGTGAAGTGTTGTGTGTAAATATTGGATTAACGACAAATATTTCATTAACAATATTACTATAAATATAATCTTTTAAGGCCGATTTTGTATACTATGTTAATATATAAGTATATCTTTGTATGTTTTTAAAATAGAGCATTGGTAATGTGACCATAGTTTTTGTTTTTGTCACTACAATCTTCTATTATCCATTCAATATGTCTTTTTAATTTTTTAAAAAAAATTATCAATAAAAAAACTATATTAATAATTTGAATATTTTTTTCTATTAAATTATATAAAAAATATTGTCAATTCAAATAAAAATCAATCCAAGGATCTATATAAATGGGTTCTTTGAATTTGAATTTTTAGTATAAATATGTATCTCAATCTTTTAAATATTATGAATAAAATGTACATAAATATATACATGTGAATTAAATAATTGTAATATATATATATTTCTTTATTTAATATCAACAAAGGGTTTGGATAGTAGGAGGTAGATGAGAACAAAGGGTGTGGATAGTAGGAAGTAGATGAGAACAAAGGGTGTGGATAGTAGGAGGTAGATGAAAACAAAGGGTGTGGATAGTAGGAGGTAGATGAGAATATGGTGGTAGTAGCAAAAGTTGAGGTGGCAATAAAAATATCCTTAAAATATTGAGAATTTTTAATTTAAAAAATTTTACATAATCATATTGCATGTAAAACAATCAAATGATATTAAAGTAATGATTTAAGCATATGTAAAGAAAGTTGATTATCTTTTAAAGAAATATTTTGAATTTAATTATAAAAGCCACATTTTTAAACAAAATAAGAGAATGATTTATATTTATTAAATAAACACAATTCTTTTCTTTGTTATAGTTTGTAGTTAGAAAAAAATAACTTTTGAGAATTAAGAATAATATTTCATGTATAAGAATAGTTATGTAATATTGATTTTGTTGTTTTTCTTTTTTTATTTGATAGGTGTTTATATATACATATATAGAGAGAGAAAGAGAGAGAGAGAGAGAGAGAGAGAGAGAGAGAGAGGAGAATATTAAATCAATACATTTAAATTTTAAATTGATCCACATGTTTCTACTTAGCTCTACTCATGCACTATCTAAGGCTTTGCACTTTCTTACTAATTCCTCAATTTTCTACTTAGTAATGTGTGGATTTTACAAGAGGTAAGAAGAATAAAGAATAGAACTTATGAAATGGATTGTAATGGAATAGATTGGAAAAAGAATAGAAAATTTTAGTGTAAGAGATCAACTACAAAAGTAGAAACATATGAAAAGAAAATATATTACATTAAAAGGAAGTTAAGAAGGAATTGGAAGTAAATTGTGAAGGAAAAATAATAGAAGTGGTATGATTAAAAGAGAGGTTTTATTTCAATCTGTCAAGGACAAGAACACGATAAAGACAAATAAACGAATGAGACTTCTCTCAAAGAAAGATGATAAAATAGAAATAACTTGATATATATATATATATATATATATTAAAAAAGAAACTAGAATAGTTGTTGCCAAAAAGCCAAGAAAACTAGAGACCCTTGAAACTAGACTAGAAGCAAGAAAGGAGTTGACAAGAGTGAAGAAGACTTCACTCTTGTCTCTATATATACTATATAATTAGGGGCTATATGGCGATATTCTATAGGACCTCGAATATGTGTTGACTTTGTAGGATCCATGTTTTGACTTACAAGGCAAGTTTTTTTATGTGTGGGCCCCATAATTAGCTTGGTTTTTAAGCTAACAACATGTGTGGCACATGGCCAACTTGTTGATCACGTTTCTAATCGAAAAAGTTAATTAAAGCCACCTATAAAGTCAAAGCAGCGTCTATAAAGCTTCTAGGAAGCTTTCATATTAAATACTATAGAATTAACTTACTTTTATCTATTTTTACTTACTTCTATCTTTTTATATATATAATAATTGACTTACATGAATATGTCCATGATATTACCCCCTCTTTTAGGGACGAGTTCCACGAAGAGCGGTCATCATATGTTGAAGAAATCTATGATGCGACAAATTATATTCGTTACATACTCTAATCTTTGTTATCATTGAAGATGATTGATAGGGCCTCTCAACCATCGGTAGTATTTCATATCAGGGCAGGAAGACCACCCAGTTATTTGATCATTGTTGAGGCTTTCATAACTTCCTTCGAATAAAACATTTGAAACACCATCAGGATTTGTTCCTACCTCTAGTAAAATCATCAAACATTGAGAGTCCCTTCTAAGGTCGTGATACCAAACGCATTGTATCTTGTCATCTATTTGAGAAAGAACTTATCATTTTTGAAGATCTTCATCTCGATTGAGTCGTCTTGAAGGTTATGACAATCATAATGTCTCGTCCGGTAGGTCAACAAACGAAGGCTCTTGAGTCGAATTTGCTGGTTATTGGTTCTCCATCTCCTAAGCGTCACAACTATAAAGAAGCTACAAACAAGGATTGAAAGTAGAATGTTATCTTGCCTAGATCTTCTTTCTTTTATAAGGAAGATTTTTATCTTGATTTTGATAGATGTCATCGATGAAAAGCCTCCACTGCCTTTGCTACATTTGTAAGATTTTTTTGTGGCTCCCATGTGCGTTCACTAATATCATATCCATGCCAATGGATAAGATATTTCAATTTATTTTGGCATCGCCTTGAATCTAAGACTTCTTCCACTTCAAACTCTTCATTATTGTCCACTTCTATAGGAAGAGGTGGAGCTTGTCTTCTTCTTGGTATGTCCATTGTCTTGTATGGTTCAAGAAGAGACACGTGGAATACTGGATGGATTTTTATTGACTTTGATAGATGTAAATGATATACAACTGTATTAATTTGTGCAGAAATAGAAAATGGTCTAAGCCTTCGATAGTCCAACTTATCACAAGGACGAATGGTCTTGATATTGCGACAAAGTAACCATACCTTATCATCCATGTAGAATAGTGGTTGTTCCTTTCGATAGACATCCGCATTGAGCTTTTGTTGTTCTTGAGCTTCTTTTAACTGCGCCTTCATTGTTGCATGTAGCTCTGACAAGTGAATTACTAAATCTTTTGTAGCAAGATTATCAACTTTTGAAAAGTCAAAAGTATCAAGTCATAGATGATAATCATAATTAGCAAAGAAAGGTGTTTGTTTTGTAGAAGAATGTACTATGTTATTGTAAGCAAACTCTGCCAATGGCAAAAGAGTTGTCCAATCATCTTGTTGGTAGTTAATGGTACATCTTAAATACTGGTCCAAAACTTGATTGACACGCTCTATTTATCCATCAGTTTGAAGATGGAATGTTGAAGATAGTTTTATATCCACTTTTAGAATCTTGAAAAGAATCCGCAAAAATCTTGATACAAATTGAGTTCCCCTATTTGATATAATATCCTTGGATAATCCATGATAGCAATAGATATTTTGAAGAAAGAGCTTAGCTGTTTCTTCACTTGTGATAGATTTTGTACATGGTACAAAATATGCCATCTTTGTAAAATGATCTACTATCACGAATATAGAGTCATAAGAACTTGAGATTAAAAGATCCGTGATGAAATCCATAGAAATAGAAGACCATGGTTGTTTTGGAATGGATAATGGCTGAAGAAGTCTATAAGGTCGATGACGAGGAGTTTTTGATCTTGAGCAAATATCACAAGATTGTACAAAATCTTTAATTGCTTTCCACATTTGTTGCCACCAAAAGTCCCTCGATATTAGTTCCAAAGTTTTATTATACCCAAAATGTCCTACTGCTGGAAAGTCATGACAAGCTTGAAGAACATGTAATCGAGCTTCATCTTTTGGAACATATAGGCGTCCTTCAAAATAGAGTAGATTGTTCTTGAATTCAATCTTGGAAGTATCATGAGACTTTGAAGGATTTCTCTTAATATCACAAATAAGAGGATCAGAAGACATACTTGACTGAACTTGCTTAATGAAATTTGAATCAACAGTTAGTGTTGATTTCATTGCTTGAAGATGAAGATGCTTTGGCTTCAAGAGAATTATCCGTTGTTGATCAAAAACAACATCTCTTTCCTTTGATGCATGATAAGATCGTTTACAGAGTGCATTTGACAAACCTTGTTGTTTTTCTGGTCAATAAATGATCTTGAATTCGAATCTTTACAAAGACATACTCCAATGGGCTTGGTGACGATTCAAAACACGTACTGACATAAAATATTCAAGATTCTTGTAATCCGTATATACTGTGAATAGACTAGATGCACCTTCTAGATAATGGCACCATTCTTGAAACGAATCTATGATTTCAAGAAGTTCTTTATTGTGGATCTCATAATTGATCTCAACTGCTCAAATTTTTTGGAATGAAAAGCTATTAGGTGAAGTTTATCATCTGTTCCCATTTGTGACAATACGACACCCAAAGCAAAGTCTGATGCATTTGTTTCCATAAAAAATGGCTTAGAAAAATTGACACGATACAAGATTGGTGCAGAAACAAAGGCTGTCTTCAAAGCTTCAAATGCTACTTCTGCTTCTTGATTCTATTGAAGTTTGTCTTTACAAGTCAAATATGTAAGTGGAGCTGCAACTTGAGAGAAGTCTTTGATGAAGATTCAATAGTAATTGGCAAATCTCAAAAAGCATTGGACATCTCTTACCATTTTTGGGATCTCTCAATCTATAATAGTTTGAACTTTCTTAGGATCCATTATAAGTCCATCATTTGAAATGATGTATCCTAAGAAATTGACTTAAGTAGTGTGAAATACACACTTTTCTATCTTGACATAGAGTCCTACATCTCTTAGTTTTTATAATACTTGGCGAACATGAAGTTCATGTTCTTTTGAGTTCTTAGAATAGATTAAGATGTCGTCTAGGTAACAGACAACAAAATCATCTAAAAACTTCCAAAAGACATCATTCATTAGAGGTTGGAATATTGCTGGTGCATTTGTAAGTCCAAAAGGCATGACGTTGTATTCAAAATGTCCATACCTTGTTCGAAACACAGAATTCCATTCATCTCCTTCTTTAATAAGTACCAAATTGTATGCTCCCCGTAGATCTATTTTTGTATAGATCTTAGCTTGATTCAACTGATCAAGAAGTCCAGATATCAAAGGTAGCGGGTACCTATTTTTGATAGTGATTTTGTTGAGTCCTCGATAATCAACACAAATCCGCAATGATTCATTTTTTTTCTTCACAAATAAAATTGAAGCTCCTATTGGAGATTTGGAATGGCGTATGAAGTTCTTGGCCAAATTTTCTTCAATATATTCTTTGAATTCAGCCAACTCTTTTTGAGATAAATTGTAGATTGGTCCAAATGGCGGTTGGGCTCATTCTTGAAGGTCAATTGAGCAGTCATAGGAATGATGTTCTGGAAGAGTATCTGCATTCTTTTTCTCAAATACATCTTAAAAATCTTGATATTGGCTTGGAATGCTATTTGAAGTATTTCCACCAATAGAAACAGGTGTAGCATAAATGACACAAGGTGATCCTTTTTTTGTAACATACAAGAAAGCACTTGTACCTACAAATATAGGTTTAATTATACTAGACTTATGACTTTGTACTTGATTAACTACACTCTTAGTTATACTTTCAGAAAAGTCAAGACTATGAGAAGTCCAATCTATTTTAGAGTTATATTTTTCTAGCCATGATAAACCTAAAATGACTAGATTAGAGGGAGATCTAATGATATTAAATATTATAAAACTACTATGATCATTAGTTGCTATTTCTATAGGAAGGGTTTCATGAGTAACATCTCTTGAAGACAACGGACGACCATATATGACTTCTACATGAATAGGTTTAGTTTTCTTTACTAAAAATATACTATGTCTTTTAGTAAATTTTTTATCTAAGAAACATGCTGAGGCTCCTGAATCTAGCAAGGTAGAGGCTTTGAGATATTTAGGTCCTAGAATAATATTTATCATAAAACATGGAGAGGATTCTGAGGAGAAGATAGGACCTTTACTAAGCATTGTACAAGGTTCTAACTGCACGGTCCCTATTGTAGCTGGACAAATTCATTTTTCGACATGCTATCTCCTTTGATTGCCATACTCCTCATTTTATGGTTGCGTCATTTCTTTGGGCAATGTTGAGCATTGTGCTTAAGTTCTCCATAATATAAGTACAAACTTTCTTGACGACGAAGAATCTTTTCTAGCTCAGTAAGAGATTTGAAACTTACAATATCAATTTACATATCCTCTACTTCCGAATGTATGTGTTGAAGAGATGTTGGTGTTGCTATTGAATTATAGTTACGTTGAGGTCTACTTGTATGATTCTCAGATTGAAATTCAAAAAGATAATTGTCGCACTTCACAGCAAAATCAATTGCTTGACTCAATGTTTGAGGATCAGGTAAGTTGAGCATTAATTTTTTTACCTCATATTGTAATCTATAGAGAAATTGGCTAATGAGTGCAGCATCATCCCACTTGATATCAGTTGCATGTTGTCAAAATTGTGAAGCATATAATGTTACTGATCGATTACCTTGTCGTAAAATATGGATCTTATTGGTTGCAACACGAATTGCATCATGTTCTCCATACATGGAATGAAACTCTGTTAGAATAGCCTCTAGATTATCTAATATTGGATCTCGTCGTTCAAGAAAAGATGAAAATCATGATAATGCTGAATCTGAAAGAAGCGTATCAATGAATCTAACTTGCGATCCTAGAGTTGGATAGCTTTGGAATTGAAGTTCAATGACAAGTTATACTGAATTGATAAATCTTCTAAACTTTGATCTGGTGCCATCAAACTTCTCGAGTAGGGCAATTCTTGGTTCTCTAACATTGAAAGGGCGTTCCACCATAGGAGAAAGGACATGATTTGGTGCAGATGTTGAAGCAGCTCCAATCATTTCTATATCTTCACTTCCTGCCAATCTTGTTGCTCTTTGTGGTGGTAAATTGAGTTGATGCATCCCAAGCATTAACTCCCTCAATTACTCTTGCATTTGTGCCATTGCACTCTTTATTTCAGTAAGTTTTGCCATGATAATCCTTAGAAAAGAGAAGATGTCTAATATTGCTCAAGACAAATAGAAGGGAGGATTTGAGAACAAAGGAAATACTAAGGACAATATCAGTGTAGAAGAGGGTAATCCACAACTTCTAATATGCTTATGTCTTATCAAGAAAAAGCGATAATCCACTCTTAATCAAGATTAGACAAAGCTTTGATATTGTAAGTGTACTCTTATAAATCTATCAAGGTCAAGAATACGATAAAGACAAATAAACGAGTGAAACTTCTCTCAAAGAAAGAGGAAAAAATAGAAATAACTTGTTATATATATTAAGAAAGAAACTGGAATGGCTATTGCCAAAAAGCCAAGAAAACTAGAGACCCTTGAAACTAGACTAAAAGCAAGAAATGAGTTGACAAGAGTGAAGAAGGCTTCACTTTTGTCTCTATATATACTATCTAACTAGAGGCTATATGGCGATATTCTATCGAACCTCCAATATGTGTTGACTTTGTAAGATACATGCCTTGACTTACAATGCAAGTTTTTCTATGTGTGGGCCACATAATTAGCTTGGTCTTTAAACTAATAACATGTGTGGCACATGGTCAACATATTGACAACATTTCTAATCCAAAAAATCAATTAAAGTCACCTATAAAGTCAAAGTAGCATCTATAAAGCTTCTAGGAAGCTTCCATACCAAAAACTATAGAATTAACTTACTTTTATCTACTTTTACTTACTTCTACCTATTTATATATGTAATAACTGGCTTACATGAGTATGTCCATGATACAATCCATCTATGAATACAAATATAAATATTTCATTATTTTTAGTGAGATATAAATTGAATTATTTAATTAATAAAGATACTTCTTTAGATATATTATATAATACATTAGTAACTTGTGATTTTTTTTGAAGTTGACATTAAACATGACAACTTCTAACTCTTTGCTATGGCATAAAAGTGATATAATTAATAAAAAAATTTGTAGTTGTAGTTTATATTTATATGTATTACAAATTTTTTAATTATAAATTAATAAATAATCACTACATTATGTAATTGATATATATATATATATATATATATATATATATATCATTGTAAATATTATTTTGAGTGATTTTCAATCTCTTATATCAAATAATTTTTCAAAACAATTAAATAATTTTTATAATTAATTTACAACCTAATTCTTATGATAGAAAATTAGAGTTTTCTTTAAAATAGAAAAATAAATATAAATTCAAAAATAAAAAAAAAAAATTATCCAAATTTTGAATGCACTATTTTAAATTTACAATTACTTTGTGCTATAGTTATAATATTATATAATATATATATATATAATAATAATTTTATTTTTATAAACTTACAAAATTTTGCAAGTATGATATAATAACATATATACATAACAATTGTAGTATGTGTTGTTATAATTTAGAACCGTATTGGTAAGACACATTGAATTTATTTTGAGATATTTAGTAAACAATAACAACCAATGTCACACACAATATCTGCACTCTACTAACATATAATTGCATAATTATAGAAAAATAAAAAAATCACATATATATATATATATATATATATATATATATAAATTGCAACTTCAATTCAATTGTTCAAAAAATAAATTTATTTTCAACTTCACTCATGTCTTCATGATACATATAATCACATTTTTTTTGGGCAAATTGTTCCCATACTGTCAAATATCAATGTAACACATCTCATACTTGAGTAAATTCATCAGTGACATTTTATGATTCAAGAAATTTTAGGTGTTCTGCATGAAGATTATTCATAACTTCACTGAGATAACATTATCTTGCACATGAGAGTGGAGATCCATGGAATGCAGGCAATGCAACAACGGAGGCAAACTTAACGAAGGGAACCCACTCATTTCTTCCTCTTTGTATTGTATTCTTTCATTATACCCCTTTCATGTATAAATACATGCATATATATATATATATATACATACATATAGACACAAATACATATCTAAAAGTAGAGGAAAGCAAGACCCAGCAGAAGGGAGGAGGAGGAGAGAGTGAGTGTGAGTGCTTCTATTTCTTATCCCTGGTCCCTTCACAAACTGGGCTCGTGTCTCCCTCACTCTCCCTTTCTCTCTTGCTTGCTTGTTGAGAAAGAGACTGAGAGAGTTGAGCCATGGCCGCCGTGATCTCCACCGCGTTGCCTCACCTCGTCCTCCACCCCAACCAGCGCTTTTCACTGCTCTATCCTTTCAGGTGAGGCCCCAGTTTCAGTTCGTTTTTCGTTGTTTGTTTTCGCGTAGTCAGAAGGGGGACCTGGAATTGTGGAGGGATTGTCTATGTTCTGGAGATAGGTCCAAGGTTGTGAGTGTTTCAGACGCCTCTGGAATGGAGATTGATTTCTGCAAGGTGGGGCTTTTTTTGTATAGGAAGCGAGTTCCGACGAGAGTTACTGGGCGGAGCTGGTTGAGGAAATGTCGTACTGGTGATTTGCACAATTTGGAATTGTTTGTGGCTCGCAGAGGAGTTGGCATTAAGGCTTGCGTTGCGAATGGAGCGGAGGTGAGCGTATTCGCCTCGTTGATTTATAAAGGGAGCTCTCAATCAAAGAATAATGCCGAAAATGTGACAGACACGTAGAATTTCTATCGGTGCATCTGAAAGGGAATTGTGATAATTCTTCCATTGTTGAGACTCTAGCATTAATCTATTACAGTAAAATTCATAGGATACGTCAACAGGTACTTGTGAATAGAAGAACCCTCTCGGATTTCGGAACTTGCGGAACATGGCGGGTGAAACTCTAGGAACGAATTTGCTTATGGGATACGTGGTCTTCGGCTATGCTTACAGGCTGGCACTCTGTCGAAGACATTGAGAGACGCTGGAGTTGGGCTACTAGCATCATTGATTACCCTTGCTTCGAGTGCTTGTTACATTTGCCCTGCATTAGGCTTTGAAGCTGGTCGTACAGCTGAGAATTCAGCTGATTATATTTGGGAAGCTCCGTCCACGTATGTGAGTATCCCTGACAAATGCTCTAACCTGTCTGTCGTTAACCTTCTGAATGTAAGTAGTATGCTTCTTCTCGTACACCTGCGTACATCCACCCTGATACAAATGCGTTTCATGCAATTAACAGTGTTGTTCGAATAGCACACTTCGTAAATGAAGGCCTTTTGAATGTGTATTGGTAAAGAAGTGATAAATGCTGTATTAGACAAGATTGGATGGACATTTTATTTGAAATAATTGGTTTGATTCACGCAACCTTTCTTGGGCTTCCAGGATGCTTCTATCTATTGGTACTGATGATTCTCACATAATGTTTGAATTATTGCTGGCGCGCAACACGCCAACAGCTCATCCGTGATGAACAGGATTCTGTCTCTGTAGCAACCAGCCACAATGAGATTGCGGTTCTGGAGGCAGTCGCTGAGAATGTCACCTTGCCAAACCAATGTACTGAAGAAGAAGCGACAAGCCTGGTACCCAAGGAGGAACCAGTTCAGGAAGTCACCAATGAATCTATTGTAGAGGAAGTATGGCAGGTTGTGAATGAAAACTTCCTAGACGCTCGGCACAATGCTTGGACTGCAGATGATTGGCAGGTATTGGCTCAGTGCCTCCCTTTTACCACTCATCTTGTTTTTACTGGTTATAAGAGACGATTAGTGAATACTTTCATTGTCATAAATATGATTTTTGGAGAATAATTGGCCTGTATGTACTTCAGAGTGTCTTGTGCTGGCGAGATCAATGCCAGATGCATAGATATATTCGTTTCTTATTTTATTACTGTTGAAATACCCTACTCTATCAGCAGTTTGCTACGGAATTATCCTGTTGGTAATCAATTTCATGATGACCATGCTTCCCCACATTGGTCTAAGTTCACAGGTTGTTGTCTTTAATGCAGAAAAAGAAGCAGAGTGCGCTCAAGAATCCAATCCAAAGCAGGATGGCAGCTTATCGAGCCATCCGCACCATGCTGTCTAGTTTGGACGATCGCTACACTCGCTTCCTCACACTTGACCAGGTGTAATACCCAGAATTTTGCTATTTGTTTAGAGAATATTTGTGTGCGATGGAAGAAAAGAAAGTAGATATGCTTTGTACATTCCAAAGATTGTATTATGTTCGTTTAGCCAAGCATCTGCTGTGTACGATGCGCTTTGATGCATCCCTGCATGCAGTATTCACAACATTCTGTGTCGAAGGCATCTAGCATAGGTTTTTCAAACGGCTAAATTTGTGCGAGGCTGAAGTTGTGCTGCTCACACTTGCAGGGGCATGTTTCCATGACAGTTTTCCCAGCTCTCGAAGTATGACGTGACTGGGATTGGTCTCAACATTGGGGAATCCACAACTACAACTGGCGAGCCAAATCTCAAAGTTTTGGGTATTGTTCTAGGGAGCCCAGCTCAACTTGTTGGAATCAGACAGGTATATCCTGCACGTATTTGTTTCTGAACCTACCATCCTGTTGGTTCACTTCCTACACAGGTTCTCTTCATGAATTGTGAATTGTTGGAGCCATTGAGTTTTTCAGAGAGTAGCTGTTCGACATTCTTCTTAACAAGATATGTGTAGTATAGTATAATTGTGCAGGTGTGATTTTAGTTGTTGTGAAAGCCTTCCTCGCTGATGAGCAGGAAATTTCGTATTCTCTCGCATTGCTTAAATACATATTTCATAAACGGTTGTTGTGAATCAGGGCGATGAAATACTGGAAGTTGCCGGAAATAGCGTCATTGGTAAGACGGCCTTTGAGGCTGCATCACTTATTCAAGGTCCAAAGGGTACCAAGGTTTCTATCAAGGTTTTCTCTGATTCCAAGAGTTTTAATTGTCGAATCAGTTGAACCTGCAATAAGTTTTACTTACCGTTTTTTATATTTCAAAGCTGATGATGTCCAGTTAACCTTGTTCAAGTACGAGGCATTGCAAAATACATTGGTGGGAAAAGAAATCGAGAGGCCTCCTTGATGACATCATGGCTTCAGACGAATTCAACTGGTTCTATATCATGCAGATTCGACACGGTCAGTGTGGCACTCCAGAAGTTTTCGAAGTGGAGCGTCAGCAAGATGTACGATCACCAGTATATTATCGCTTGGAACGTATTCAGGATTCGAATGAATTGTCAGGATACATTCATTTAAAAGAATTTAATGCCCGTGCCAAGCGTGACATCGTGACGGGTGTGTTGCCATTCATGATTTTTCCTAAGCTTATTTTGACAGAAATTAAGTTGAAGATTTTACCTGTTAGCGTATAGCTTCTCTTCTGTGTTTTTTCTTCGTTTCTTGTAAGTAAAGGGATGGGATAACTTAATTCCTAGAATTTTTTCTGGCTCTACAGCGATAAAGAGAATGCAAGATGCCGGTGCTTCATCTTTTGTGCTGGACTTGAGGGACAACCCAGGGGGTCTTGTGCAGGTATTTGTATCTTCTATGCACAAGTTGTTTGCAGACTTCTCTGTAAATGTTTTCTTCACCCAGCGTACGTTATTAATGTCTTAGAATTCCTTCTTGTTTAGTATGACGAGACTCCTCATATGACAGCTGGATTTAGTACTGTTAGCCTTGTTTTGAGAAATTGGAACGCCGTGTTGACATACAGGCTGGCATTGAGATTGCAAAACTTTTCCTAAATGAGGGAGAAACTGTAAGTGACGACCTCAATATATTGTTGAGATTTTTAGGAAGCACTGAGATCCATCTTCTTTTTGATTAGTTGTTATGTAACTGTCTGTTCGGTTTGACTGGCGTTCAGTTTGTTTAATTTAATGGAGTTTCAGTTGCGAATTCTTTTTCTTCTTTTTTTGCTAACATGTATTACTTAATATGACACTGATAGACCCACTTAGTTTTTTCTTGCTCTGTATTAAAGATGTGTGTTTTCCCTTTATGTAAGAAGCTAGAGGTGTCCTTATTAAGAGTCTTAACAGAATTTATGGAGCACCTAATAGAAATGCTTTTCTGAACTATTTGTAGAGAAGAAAGTGGAGCTGAACTTGCACATTTGTGCAGGTTATTGAAACAGTAGGGCGGGATGCGAATAATACAAAAAGAGTCATTGCTTCACATTCGCCAGTAATAGATTCTCCTCTTACGGTAAACGTTGTCTTTTGGCATGATTTGCGTTGATTGCTGATTCTGGATTAAATGCGATTTGAGCATCATTTATTGAATATCGAGGTCTTATCTTGTACAGATTTTGGTCAATGATCATACAGCAAGTGCAAGTGAAATCGTAAGTACTTTCATCCTCAAACAACCTCCTCTTTGATGACTTCAAATCTTTGTTTTAAAGGACTCGGGCTAGCATACCAGAATATATAACGGATTTGCAAATTGCTATTTTTAGTCGTCACATATTCACTCATAAGTGTACTTCAATTTCTATCTTTAATTTAATTTTATTTATTTTTTTAGTAAGTTTAGATGAACCTTGGAATGGCAGGTTGCAGCAGCTTTGCACGATAATTGCAGAGCAGTGCTAGTTGGTCAAAGGACGTTTGGCAAGGTGTGAGTCTAATCTTGCAATTATCTGATAATCCAAATCATATGTGCCCTTGTGCGTTTACATTTTGTATATGGAAAGGAGCTTTCTATATTAGGTACTCTGAATAGTTATGTTCCCCATCTTGGAGTATTGATTTGTTTTAAAACTTGTGCACACAGGGTCTGATTCAGGCTGTGTACGAATTGAGTGATGGATCTGGAGTCGTGTTGACAGTAGGAAAATATGTCACACCCAAGCACCTGGACATCGATGGAGCTGGCATTGAACCTGATTACAAGCAACCTCCTGGTACTTTTCTTCCCTTTTTAGGATTATGAAGACACATTTAAGTTGACGTTTACAAATCTGCTTGGTGTGTAGTGATGTGAGGTGGAAGAGCTTGCAGGAGCAACCCTTATCATGTGTGCATGATGTCATGAGCTCTCAGACTGCACTCACGTAGTATGTATTGACTTGAAGTACTACAATTGCAGGGCTCAATGAAGGTCTGAAAAAACTAGGCCAATGTAAATTGTTGAAGACCTGAAATGATTTTTCTACAACTCCAATTCATTCTTAGTCATTGTTAAGCCCTTGAAGAAAACCAGTCCCTTGACTACAACGGATTACGTGGACATGAGAAAAGAATGCAGATGCAAATTTTTAGTGCAATTTTTTTTTTTTTTTTTTTTTTTTTTTTTTGCTTACTCTCTTCATTAAGAATAGGTCATAATGTAACTTGGTTACTTTTGATATGAGAAGAAAAGTTAAATTGTTTTTGAATGTTCTCATTGGTTTATAATGCCCTTAGTTTATTTTGTTCTATAGGATTTGATAAGCAAGTTTTTGGTGTCACTTGAACTTTGTTTATCTTACACTCTCTAGAATTTTTTTCAAGTTGAGTTTCAACAAGATATTTTGTTGTCTCAAATTGAATCTAAAGAAATGTAGGATTGATTTTTGGATGGTGATTGAAATATGACTAATTAAGTGGAGGTCAAATTTACATGGAAAACAATAAAATAATACCAAAATCTTATTGATTATTTTTTAGCCAATGTTTTAATTAAATTATCATTAAACAATTAAAAAGGTAGGGTCTCCACTCTACTTAAATGAATTAAGTTTTAAGTTTCTTCTTAAGTCTTTAAATCTATTAACATCCTAAAATGCATGATTAGGAATGGTGTTATCTTCTTAGATAATCTCCTATTATTTTTTTACTTTAACTATCTTCATCCTACAAAATGCTTGTAAGTGATAAATTCAACTTTTATTTTCTTAATTAATAGAAAAGTCCAAAAGAAAATACACTTCATGTAGAAAGCTCAAGGTAAATTACCTTTGACAAAAAAACTTCTTTAAAACATAAGATCCTACAAATACTTCTACAAAAATAAGAAAAAACGATTATAATTTGAAAAGTTCAAAAAAATAATATCTTAATTTTTTTTCATAGTAGAGTATTTTTAAATTTTCAAAAGTTGAAATTTTAAATAAAATTCTTGATGCAATAAAATAATTATATATATATATATATATATATATATATATATATAATAGATTGTTATCAATTTAGATCTTGAATTCTTTGACAATTATAGACCCATCACATTCCTATACTCTAATTGTAAAACAATTGTCAAATATTACAATTACAAATCTAATACATTTTTACAAACATGGTTAGCTAAGATCAAACTTTCTAATCTTGTACATATGTTTTCTTTAGTAATATACTTATTTATAAATCAATAATTTAGATAATTTCTTAAATAAAAAATTTAAATGTTTTAAATTGAAATTTATTAAAATTTACTAAATCTTTTGAAATTATATTAAAGGAATTATTTTTTAACTAATATACAAATATATATTAAATTAATTATATCAAATTATTTTTTTAAATAAAAATTATAATCATCATCAATGCATCTTTATTTCAAATTTAATAAAAATAAAAAAAACTAATTAATTAATTGATTAAATAAATAAATAAAGTCAAAGGTTTCTTCTAACTTAATATTTATTTTTATACTTGGTAAGAATTTGTAACTTCAATATGAAATCTTTTACAATCAATAGAAACCATTATAATATAGTAATAGGAACCATTATGTTGTAATATATATAATTAATTCATATTATATATATATATATATATATATATATATAGATTTTATTAATAAGTTCATATCCTTTTACTACATTGACAGGTTTATTATGAAATCTTTTAGAAATTTAAAAAACCTCTTTCTCTCTAAAATAGCTAGGCAACTAATTATTAATTAATATACACATGATATAATCACTTTTTTAGAAGAAAAAATTATTAATGTTTATGAGATAACATATGCAATATCTATCTTTAATTTGATTTAGTATCAATTTGATGTAATAGATGTAAGTGGGTGCTCAAGAATGTTTGAAATTTTCTACACAAGTAAACATAGATAGAAATGAAAAAATCTAAGATATTTTAACTTTTTGGCACAAAACTCAAAATAAATGTTGACTTTTGAGAAATTTGAGAATTTCTAAATCAATTTTTTTTTTGGAGTTCTACTTGTCTCTATCTTTTATTAAATTATATTAAAATCTATATTACTTTAGCAAGTATTATATACTACCTTGTGATGAAAAATAAATATTTGAATTTTATATATATTGTTTAAAGCCTTGCAAGAAATTTTGTTATATATATATATATATATATATATATATATATATATTAATGGAAGTTGCTAACCAATTTACACCTAAAGAAGACATGAACCTATCAATCCAATGTAATGGTTTCTATTGCATTGGCAATTAGATGGATATAAAAAGTTATTATGCTTAGACAACATAGTATCTTTGTACTCTTAGAATATATAGTCTATTAAACAAAACTAGCTAAAAAAATAAAAAGGTAAAATATGGACGTATTTTAGATGACAAATATACTTCTAAATTTTTTACAAAGAATTGTATGAAAAGCGTAAAAACTTATTGATAAGAACTTCATTTCTAAACCAGTTTACATAAATTATTTTTGTTGAATTCTCTTCTATAGTTAAAAAAAATCCTTCTTAATTAATTTAAGATTACCAAATTTTAAAGCTTTTATGTGCATACCATATTTATAAATTAAAAAAAGAATAAATTTAGTTCTATGAAGAACAAAAACAATGCCTTAGCTTCAGAGAAAAAGAAAAAATTAATCTTTACTTGTAATTTCTTTTATACAATTTTGCAACCTAAAAACTTGTCTTATGATTTGATTACCTTATATGAAGATTTTACAAATTAGATATTAGTAAATTGATAGGTATCTTCAGATACTAAAATTTATCATGGTTATTTTATTTTAATCTATTTTAAATGATAATTAAAAATTACAATAGCAATGATGGTGATGATATTATTCTTTGACGAGAAAATCCTAAGAATTTTACAGAACATCTAAAACAATATGCATAATTATAAATAATGAAAAATTATAAACCTTCAAAAATCTTAAAAGCTTATTAAGTATGACTTCTAAATATTAAAAAAAATCCTTAAATAAAAATTCTTAATATATATTCATATATATATATATACATACATACATACATACATACATATACTTTGATCTTTCTCTATTTTTACACAAGATTTTTATAAAAATATATATAAGAATAAATAAATAAATAAATAATTTTTAATCTTATAGGAAGATATTATAAATGCTTAGAAACAAATAAAATAATATTTGATAAAAAATAAATATTTTTTTAATTCTATTTTTAGGAAGTAAAATTTTGTCTTGTAGTGATTTTAAATATTTTTGGTTGTTAAAAGGATAGTAGAAATAGATTATTATTTTATACTATTACTTAAAAATTTGAGAGTAATAAAAGAGTTGATATTTATCCTTTTAAAACAAGTAATCTATGGTTAAGATATAAATCAATTGCATAATATAAAAACCTTACGACTACTCATTGCATATAATTTTTTTTAAACCTATCAAAAAAATCTATTATACATATTAGTAATACTAAATTTTATTTTAAAACAAAGTTTAAATTTAAACAAATACAAACTATTATCCTTTGTAGTATTATTTTTTTGTTTAATGAGTTCTTTTTTTAGACCCTCTTTGAAATTATTTTTTTTCTTAGATTTTTTATTGTAGAAAATAAGACATAATTCAAAATTTTATAACTTTTATTCTAAGTAATACTTACATCTAATTGGAAAAAAATTATACTTTATATAGATAGTTATTGTCTTTTTAGCAACTAAATTTATAATTTTGATAAAACTCTCCTATCATTATTTTTAGTCTAACAATAATATAATAAAATCTATTAATATTATTTAAATTATTATTATATTTTATAAGTAATTTAACAATATTCTTAGAAATTTAATTTCTAATTTCACTTAATTTATCTAAGAACTTTTTTATAGTAGTTCATGTAGAAATACATATACTAAGATTTATTATTAAACAACAAAAATCTAAATTATACTATTGTTTTAAAAATATATATGTACCAAGTATAGCTTTGAATAGATTGTAATTAATACAAAAAAAACTTAGATACTTCATTTTTTACTTGATTATATCTTTATCTACATTAATTCAATCATTAAAATTATGAAATACTTTATCAAAGCCAAGATGAAAGCTACAACATTAATATTAATTCAATAAATGAATAAAGCTAGTATTTTTTTTTACATACAATGTTACTTCTACCAAATTGTGAGATTACTTTGCATCTTGGGATAGAACTTATGGGAGGTTATAATTTAGCATCAAAGAACTATGGTGATTCCAACATTTTTCAATAACTTTCTAGTGGTTGTAATTTAGTAGATAATAACTTAATAAAGTTAATAACGTATATATATATATATATATATATATATATCTTTTTACATTTTTATGATTTTTTTAATAATCGAAATAGTTTGTTTTTTTATCACTGCCGATTATAGCAAAAGCATAGGTAGACCTATCAATAGAAATCATGACCAAAGTTCATATGAAGTAGTAAAAGTAAATATTTTACAATAAATTAGTGACTACTTTCTTTTTATTCTTGTTTGAAAAAAAATAATCTATTGCAATAACATTTTTACTTTTCATTCTTTTATAATTGGAGATTTGTAAGATTTTTTAGAATCCTTTAACATTAGATTTTTTATTTTATTTTATTTTTTGTTTGTTTATTTTAGAAGCAATTAGAATTCATTGCTCCTTAATACTTATCCAAAATTGATCCATAAGTTTATCATTATTTCGAATCATTGCAACATTAGTGAATTTTAGAAATAAGTGAATCATTAAGGTGATTGTATTTAAATGATATTATCTTAAGTTCTAAATAATGAAGGATAATGCTAATAAAGAGATGTCATCGCTCTATCACATTAAATTGTGATAACCTTCAAATGTGGTTAGGCAACAAAACCAGAAAATGCCACCCAAAAACCTTTACCTCGAGTGAACATTTACTCCATGCCTTGAATATGTTAGTATGTTAGTAGGTGGTGTCTAGAAGCTCACTTTAATATTCAAATCTCCTCCGGCAGTTTGAGAACCGAATCAGCTTCCTTATAAGTGTAAACTAATCAGAATCTTGTCATCTATCCAAAGTAATCATTATTCCTTTATTCCTGTATTGGACCCCTCGGCTTAGGTTCTTTTGCCAATAGGCCTTCTAAAGAAATGCTCTTTGTTATAACCAGCTACAATGTCCTAATAAGCAAATTGAATGGGAAAGTACAGATTCAAACGATCCCTGCTGTCAATAATTAGACGACTTCGATAGAATCACTGACTCCAACAAGAAGACTGACAATGAATAAACTACATGTTCAAAGACTTGAAGTGAATGGCTTGTGCTTTCATTACTTCTTGGATTGGACTAGCTTCAGACCAATTTCTTCGACACCCATGTCTTGCAAGTTAAGGAGCAAGGAATCGGCACTCAAAAATACGCGGTTCTGGGAGGTCGAGATTGTGTTCGCAATTTCTCTACTAGCCTCAATCTTTCTCAAGGTGATGAAAGCTGGATTGTTAGAAATGGCGTCACCAATAAGTTGAGCACTCTTGGCTTCTCCCTGAAGTACACACATACATTCATCAATACCAGCTCAAATTTGATGATAGACCTCTATTTAGAAGAAATAAAAGAACAGAACTCAGAGTACAACATCTAGGAAACTTGCTAACCACCTCAGAAACTGAAATAACTGAAACAAGGGGACGTGTGAAGCACCTGAGCACGGATGATGGCACTTTTTTTGTCCTGCTCTGCCTTCTCCACCACAAACTTGGCCCTCTCAGCGTCCTGAGCAGCAACTTGCTTGGCTTCAATAGCAGCTGTGAACTCCCGCCCAAAAGTAAGATTGGTGATAGACACGTCATCCAAAGCGATGTCGAAACTTGTAGCACGCTCTTGCAAGATTCTCCGGATCTCCCTGCTCACAACCTATCAAACCAAGATTCAAATCACAGGCGACATTAAAGTTTGATTGAAAAATCAGAATCACAGGTTGACACTCGGGCAAGGAGTAAACCGAAATTTCTGGAGCAATCTACCTTATCAGACAGTTCAAGACCCTAAATGATCGATAATATATATATATATGTTTTGTTCATTTTCACGCAAGTGCATATTCGTCATCATCACTCTTGGCAACAGCTCTACACAAAATTCAAAAAAGATCAACAGTCCACCACAACCTACCTCACGCTGCGTAATGAGCTGGCTGGCGTTGTACTGAGCAACAACGGCCTTTAAAGTTTCCTGAACAACAGAAGGCAGAACTCGTTCCGCATAGTCTTGTCCTAGTGTGCGGTAGATCGTAGGCAGTCGATCCGCCATAGGGCGCGTCAGCACTCGCAACGTAATTCTCACCTGTTAACGTTGCAGCAGCAGGGTAAAACGTAATCTCAGTAATTCCTAAACAAACAACACCATCCCCGACAAAAACCCCTTCAACAAAAACACACGATTCCATGAACTACTTGAAAGAGAGCTATTCATCTCAAACATAAAAACTGTCTGAAAGGAATTGCCATTCGACCACAGGTACATATCACTATTCAACGTACCATTTGAAGATCCCTACTCCCCGACGTGCTCTCGACAATGTTAGGTCGTGCACGGACATCATATATCACAGGCCTGTCGAACCAGGGAATCATAAAATGCGTTCCCTCTGGATACACCTGCAAGGCCATCCTCGAAATCCGCCACGATCGTCAAAATCCAAACCCTAAAACAAATCCAAATTCCGTCTCATCAAAGACCAATGCAATTCACACTCACTCACTCACTCACCTTATCCTTGACACCTACAATGCGATTAAACACAATGGCTCGGTGCCCTCCCTCCACATTGTACAACGAGTTGACCGCAGCATACACCCCAATGCCACCGATAACGGCGAGCTTGACCAATGCACCTGCAGGCCCGCCATTCGGAATCTTCACATTGCGCACGTCATTGAGATTCATGACTTCCGATTCCTTCTCCTCTACTAACACTTCCCCTCCGTTGACAACGATCAGCTCAGACGGGGGGGGGGGGGGGGGATTGAAACGAATTGCTGCGGTGACAACAGGAACGCATTGATGGAGGAGGAGCAGAGGCTCTCTCGCGCTCAGTTAGGGCCTGGAGGAGACGACGAAGCTTGAACCCTTCGAAAAACCCCTACACGATGAGCTCAGTGTGAATGAGACCCCCCCAATCGGACACGGCCATAGGGTACTTTCTGCCCACAACCAACTGCTACCTTTTTCCGTGTCCTGGGGAGCAATGTTCCGACGAAACTTTTTGGATGAAATCGTGATGCGAATCTTCAGTCGCTCGTTGGATGATAAATCCTTTTTATCAACAAAATAAATAAAATAGAATCTTCTCATTTAGGATAAGTATTGGATTAATGCAGAACTTTTTAGATGGTTCCATATTGGATTATTGGCGAAATTTTTATGCAAAGCACTGTAGGTGATGTCACATTTTTGTAAGTTTGTGATCGGTTGGAATTGAAAAGTCTCTCTTGATTGGTTGTATCTTTGGGGAAATTACTCAAAAAGTCATAAGAAGAAAAGATGATATGCGATTCACATTATTCCTAAATAATAAAAATAGTATTTTCTCCTAGAATTTATAATTAGATTACCCACAAAAGTGTAATAAAGGAATGATTTGATCTGTAAATTAACATTACTTTACTTTTTCTTATCTTCAAAAGCAAAAGCTTCCAAAAAAATCAAATTTTCTTTATTAAATAAGAAATCTTCATAAGGCTTTTTATACCATGACTTCTCAAAGTAGGCATCTATGCTCAAAGAAGACTTTTATATAATAATTATAAATACATATATATATATATATATATATATATATCCTTAAACCAATTGTTTATATATATAAACAATTGGTTTAGGGTTTATATTATTATATTAAAAAATTGTAAAAAATAAACTTAATTCAAATTAAAGGCTTTTTTGGGGCCATAGTGTATTCAAACATATTAAAAAAATATACATGATTTATTAGATTAACAGCAATAAACTACTTATATATTTTTCATAAAAACAATCCTATTTATTTTTCATACTAACTGTTAAATAATAACATGTATCACAATTATATGTTGATGCATTTTCGGATTTAAATAAAGTATTACTTTATTTATCTGAGGTAATTATATAAATATAAATATATAAATATATAAATATAAAAAATATATATATTTCTTATATTTTTATAGTGCAACATTTAAAATACACAGTATTTATCTTCATGTGTTGATATATAATTGGGTAACAATATCAGGTCTTTTATCAAAGAATAATTTAATAAAAATTAAGAAACTTACATAAGTGCATTTTAAACATTATCAGATATATAATGACACTTGGATAAACTATAAAAATTATAATATTTGTAGAAACTTATCAAGTCAAAACAAAAAAATATAACTTGCATTTATATATTAAACTATAGTTTGACTTGAAAGAAAAAAATTGATTTTTTTTTAGCATTTTTTTCTGAAATGATTGTAACATATATTTTAAATTGTGATATTATAAATGATATGATTAAAATTGCATAAAATAACAAATACTTTTGTACAAATTTTAGACATTCTTTGATTTTGTATATGTACCAATGATATTTTCAAATAGTATTTTATGCTTATATTTTATATTTTAAGAAAATTTTATTTATTTTCTTATTATTAAATGTATGAAATGCCTATTCATTAAGTTTGACTTTTACATATATTTATTGTATCTTATTTTGTTTTAAGTTACAATCAATAGAAAATATTAATATTAATTATAAATTTCTATCTTATATAAGTTAAAATTAGACAAATAATTAAATTCCAAATAATGATGATCCATTTATTGTGTTACATTTTGATTTAAAACTTGTATAAATATTTTTCCTATTATGGAGCCAAATGAGTAGTGTACCATAGTATTATGTACACAAATGATAGAAAATTAAATATCTCTCTCTCTCTCTCTCTCTCTCTATATATATATATATATATATATATATACACATATACACATATAAATGTATAAAAGCTGATAAATCTTAGAAAATCAAACAATATAATTTTATCAACTTTTTTTTAGAGTAGTGATATACTTATCTAAGAAATTTTATAAAATAATAAGTAAATATATAAATAAAATATACAATAATAATAATAATAGATTTAAAAAAAATTCTAGGAAATGAAATCTTTATAATATCATTGTATTTAAATGTGAATATTTTTTGTACTTGCATTGTTTTTATTTATTTTTTCTATTCAATTTTATTAATTAATTTATTATTTTTTAAAAAATATAAATATTATTGAATTTAGATTTTATGTTTTATTAATAAAAATAATTATAATAATAATAAAAAATAAAATTAGTTTATTATTTAAAAAATAATAAAAATTATATGAATAAAGAGTGTATTTTTTTATATGATACTTAATTAATACTATTTAGTATTTAATACTTAGAAAATAATAAAGACTAATATATAATAATTGAAACTACAAAATTATCTTTAAAAACATTGTATTAAAACCTTAAACTTAAAAAAATAATATAATATTTTTTATGATATGATCACTTAGAAAACTACTCACTTATAAGCATGTAAAATACATATTTATTATTACTATATATATAGTCATAAATTTAAGTATTTTATTTTAATAAAACCATAAATATTTTAGTTTGAATTTAATTAAACTTTAAAATAAATTATCAATTTCTTGTAATGAAATATTAAATTATAAGATATTTTAAAAAATAAAATCTCAAATACATATGTTTTATCTTATAAGTATGATAAAATTTGATAAATGTTTTTAAAAGAAATGATATATATATATATATATATATATATATATATATCAGTTTTAAAAATTATGATTTTTAAATTTCTTTAAATAAAGATGATAGAATACATAATTAATTTATTAAAAATATATTAGATTTAATCCTTAATAATTTTAGATTTATAAATATTTTTATTTGTAAATGGTATATAAAAAAAATTTAAATCTTTATTTTTTTAATAGAATAACTATCCTTTTATTACTTCATAGTTTGACCATATATATATATATATATATATATAAAATATTCATTTAAAAAAATCATAAATATAATCTGATATTATTTTAGTAGAATGTTTTAGTTTTAGATTTTTTTTTTGGTTTCTTTTGAATTGAATAATTTTTACAAATGTTTATCACGAGTCAAATTTTAATTAATTAGTAAGAAGTTAATACTTGGTTTATGTCAATTTTATCAATATAAATTAAATAAATCTACAAAGTTTTTTTTTTTAAAATTTTTTTAATGTATTTTTATTAGAATCATCATTATTAAAATATAATGTTTTTATTAATTGATATTAAAAATTAGAAAAATCTTAATTATTAAATATTGAAAATTATTAAAAGTATATAATTAACTATTTTTTTTATTAAAAAAATAAATAAACAAATATTTTTTCAAGGAGAGGATATCCACCAATTAGTTTTTGAAAAAAAATTATATAAAGATGATTATTCTCAACATAATAAAATATCAATTATATAATTTAGTCTTCTATATATTCAATCTTTTCTTTTCTTTAGTACTTTTGTTTTCTATCATTTTCTTCTACCTCTCTTCTATCAATCTTCATCTTTGTTAATAAAGAAATCAATGAATATTAATTTATTTTTAGATATCATAAATTATTAATTATGCAACATAAAACATTATTGATTCTCAAAATTTTGACTAATTATTAGAAATTATTGTCAAAGACATGCATTAGTATAAAACTTTGAAGAAGTAATGCACTTTTGTGATACTCAAAGAAAGAAAGTAGACAAATCTAAGATAGATTTTAGAAAAAAATTTGAATAGCTATTACCAAATACAAAGACACTAGAGATTTTTGAATTAAGACAAGAATACAAGAAATGCATTAATAAAAATGAAGAAAAAATCACTTTTATGTCTATATATACTATGTAACTAAAGAGCTACATAATAGTGTTTTATAGATCATCTAACATGTGACTAACTTACAAGATAATTTTTTTACATATATGCGACATGATCAATTGGTATAATAAGTAATCAACATATGCAACATGTAGCAAACTTGTAAAGTAATTTGTCAACCTAATAGATATATGGCCAACTCTTTGGTCAAATTTTTAACCTACCAATTCCCTACAAATACTTAAATAGTAAAATTTGCATCTATAAAGCTTTTAAGAAGATTTTAAAAAAGATATTATAAAATTTATTCACTTCTATTTACTTTAACTTAATTTTTTTGATTTTTATCAATGTTTATGTATTTGTAATATTATCCTACTTTTTAGAGACAAATTCCACAAAGAACAATGATTATATATTAAAGATATTTAAGATATAGAAAGTTTTATTTTTTACATATTCTAATCTTTATTTTCTTTGTTGATAATTGTCACGTCTTCTTAACCATCAATAGTATTCCAAATCAAAGCATGAAGACCACTTTGTTGTTTAATCATTCATGAGGCCTTTATAATTTCCTTCAATTAATACATTTTGAACACCATCAAGAGTGGTTCCTACCTTCAATAGTATTACCATATATTAAGAGTCTCTTCTAAGTTTGTATAACCAAATATGTTATATTTTACAATCTATTTAAGAAAAAAGATGTTATTTTTAAAGGTCTTTATTTCTATTATGTTATCTTAAAGTTATGACAATCACAATACCTTATTTTTTAACTTGACAAAAAATATTTTTTAATTTTTTGAATTTGTTGATTGTTGGTTCTTTATTTTCTTAATGCCACAAATACAAATGCAAATGCAAAAGAAACAAAAAAACCAAAAAAAGATAGAAGATAAAATACAATTTTTATGGAACCTACATTGTTATATAGTAAAGAATTGTTTTATTATCTATCTTGGTCTTCATACATATTATCAATAAAAATAATCAATTTCTTTGCAACATTTGTAAAATTTCTAAATGACTTTCATATGCTTTTAGTGATATTATATTTGTTTCAATATATAAAATATTTCAAC